ACCCACTCGTTGACTCAACCACTCGTTCACTCACTCACCCACTCGTTGACTCAACCACTCGTTCACTCACTCGCCCACTCGTTGACTCAACCACTCGTTCACTCACTCGCCCACTCGTTGACTCAACCACTCGTTGACTCAACCACTCATTCACTCACTAACCCACTCACACACTCACTCACTCAACCACTCAACTACTCACACACTCACTCAACCACTCGTTCACTCACTCGCCCTCTCGTTGACTCAACCACTAATTCACTCACTAACCCATTCGACTACTCACTCACTCAACCACTCATCCACTCAACTACTCACTCACACACTCACTCAACCACTCATTCACTCACTAACCCACTCGTTGACTCAACCACTCATTCACTCACTAACCAACTCGACTACTCACTCGCTCAACCACTCACCCACTCAACTACTCACTCGACTACTCACTCACTCACTCAACCACTCACCCACTCAACTACTCACTCACACACTCACTCAACCACTCATTCACTCACTAACCCACTCGACTACTCACTCACTCACTCAACCACTCACCCACTCAACTACTCACTCACACACTCACTCAACCACTTACTCACACACTCACTCAACCACTCATTCACTCACTAACCCACTCGACTACTCACTCACACACTCACTCAACCACTCATTCACTCACTAACCCACTCGACTACTCACTCACTCACTAACCCACTCGACTACTCACTCACTCAACCACTCACCCACTCAACTACTCACTCACACACTTACTCAACCACTCATTCACTCACTAACCCACTCAACTACTCACTCACACACTCACTCAACCACTCATTCACTCACTCACCCACTCGACTACTCACCCAACCCACTCACTCAACCACTCGTTCACTCACTCACTCGCTCACCGATTCACCCACTCACTCACCGATTCACCCACTCACTCATCCGTGAAAGCGAAATTGATGGCAGTGAATGACGAGGACGAATGGACTGAATGAATGTGGCTAACAAGTGATCGTCATGCAATGAGAATGTGACGAGGGAACAGTAACGGTGTTAGCGGTTACGAGGGAGGAGATTAAGGGGGGGGGGGGGGTTTGGGGTAAGTTAAGGAACAATCAGTGAGTTTTATTGAGTGACGAGCGGAAACTGAGTGAGCGGAGGTGACCGCTTTAGTGAATCAGGTCGCGTTCACGACGCGCGACAAAGTCGCCTCTCGCCACGAATGAACCACGGCAATCACCCATTGGCTGACCTCGTGGGGGAGCTATGCAAGCCCAGGGTGGACACACCAGTGCCTCTGCGTGACAAACAACACGAGACGTTTTCAAGTTTCATTTATTAGGTATAAGCCCCGTGAGCCACGCGGCTCTTGAGTCGGGTGCAACCGCAACAAACGAAACATGAACAGGGAAACATCTTAAAGCGACGACGTGCTACAGAAGCATCCTGGAATAAACCAGCAAATCTTCCAGAAAAAATAAAAACAAACCTCCCCAACGTATTTAGTCCTCGGCAAGGTAAGGTAATTCTAGGTTTTTATCAGAGATTTGTTCACGAGGCAATTCTAATTTACAAACACAGACACAATTTCAACCGAGAGGATGGTTTCAAATTAAGCAACCATTGGAAAGATGTTCTGAATCAAACCAAACGTTAAACTAATTTTCAAAGGTACACTATATTTTCTCAAGTAGTGGTATCCCAAACTTTCGCAGCTGCTTAAATTCCCTTTTCACACCATCAATATGTAAACTCCCCCCTCCCCTCCCCCCCTCGCCGGTCTGCACATGTTCACCCCCTCTACACAGTTCATCATGCTAAGTCCGCCAATTAAAAGCTAATTTTTATGCTAATTCCTTTGTCAAGGCGCTCTGTTTCCTCTCGCACAGCTTAAAGGTCGCGGTCTGAGCTTGGCTGTGTTCACTCCAGCGCTGTCCTCTAGACAGTCTGGTCCCTTCACCTGATGAAGGCCGCTTGTGTTGTGGCCGAAACGTCGTGATTTTTGTTGTTTTATTTTTTACCTACGTGACTTTACCGAATCGAACCATAGAGCAAGGTACGGTAATTTACTATTTTTACTGGGTAAAAAGGATAAAGGTGTCGACATGCCAAGGGGTAAGGTAAAGGGTAGGGTAAAGGCAGCTCGGAAGAATTACCCAGTAGGGTAAAGGTAGCACGAAGTATTACCCGGTAGGGTAAAGGTAGCGTGAAGTACTAACCCGGTAAATACGGTGCCTTGTTTACCGCTAAAAGCTCCGTGGCGCAGTCCGTGGCCTATATTTAATAAGTAATTTTATTTAAAAACTTTTTAAAAACACGCTTTTATGAAATGCACTAGTAATGGAATAACTCCACGACTCCAGAAAGTGGCCCCGAAGCTCGCCACAACGTGGTCAATTACAGCCAACGTCAGTTTAGCATGGACAATTGGACACAAGCCGAAACATAACACATAAAAAATAATGTTTAAAAATATCTATTTTAAATTTTTTAATGATAGTATATAGTATTGTCATCAGTCTGGCATAAGTATACCAAGTTTGCAGTCGATACCACATTGGGAAGTGGGTTACAATTGAGTTACAAGATTTGAGGATACAACAACAACAACAACAGACAGAGTGAGTTAAAAGAAAGCATGTAAAATTGGAATCATCGATAGTCTTCTATATGAATAAAGCGCTCTACCTAGCATTTACCTGTTATAAAACCTTGTTCATGTGTAGTAGTACCCCAGTAATTACCCTGTAATCGGGTAATTTGTATTGTGGCAAGGTAAAAAGTAGGGTAAAGGTAGGCTCGTTGTTTTTTCCTTATACCTTGCCGAGGCCTAACCGTATCACAACGCTGTGCGCATAAAATCCCAGTTTGATGCAAGTCAAACAATAACAACCATAAAATTGGGGTGACCCTTAAAACAAAATAATCATGAAATAATAACAACAGGCTTGATCCTTCCCGCCCACACCAATTAGACACCGATTAGCACATGGCCTCGTAGAGTCTGCATTAGGCGCGCGTGCTTAAGCGGTAAAAACATTCAAACCCCTACGTCACTTATTCTTGGTTCTTTCGGTAAAGTCACGTGGGTAGAAAAATAATAAGGTCACGACGTTTCGATCGCAACGCAAGCAATCATCATCAGGTGGGACAGCAGTTTATTTTTTTCCTGCTGTGGTTGTCTCCACCTTGATGACGATCGCGTGCGTTGGCATCGAAACGTCGTGAGAATTGTATTGTTTTATATTTTTATTATTTTATTGTTTCCCTTCTACGTGGTGACTTTATCGAAAGAACCAAGAATATATAACAGTGGTGTAAAGTCACGTAGAAGGGAAATTGTTTTATATTTTTATTATTTTATTGTTTCCCTTCTACGTGACTTTACCAAAAGAACCAAGAATATAACAGTGGTGTAAAGTCACGTAGAAGGGAAATTGTTTTATATTTTTATTATTTTATTGTTTCCCTTCTACGTGACTTTACCAAAAGAACCAAGAATATAACAGTGGTGTAAAGTCACGTAGAAGGGAAATTGTTTTATATTTTTATTATTTTATTGTTTCCCTTCTATGTGGTGACTTTACCGAAAGAACCAAGAATATAACAGTGGTGTAAAGTCACATAGAAGGGAAATTGTTTTATATTTTAATTATTTTATTGTTTCCCTTCTACGTGACTTTACAGAAAGAACCAAGAATATGAATCCCTGCAGTCACGGAAGCTTTAAATCGAAGCCTACGTAACCGCTTGGATTTCCTTTGACTTTGCATTGCCCTTGCACTGTCCGCCTGTTACATGTTCTCTGTTTTGAAGCTTTCGTGACTGCAGAAGTCCATACTATTTGGTTCTCTCGGTGAGGTCATCACGTGGGTAGAAAAATAATAATAATAATAATAATAGATCACGACGTTTCGATCGCAACCCAGGCGATTGTCATCGGATGGTGACAACCACAGAGGGGGAAAAAACAAAAAAAAACTGCTGTCCCACCTGATGACGATTGCTTGCGTTGCGATCGAAACGTCGTGACCTCATTATTTTTCTACGCACGTGGTGACTTTACCGAGAGAACCACAGAGTGATGTCCTCTCGGCTAACACCGGTGGTGAGACAAGGCCATTCAAAATGGCCTGACCTCCGGGTCAACCCCTTGCAAGGTGCAATGGATTACATCAAAGCACGTTTGTCTCCACCCTTGTTTTTGTTATCACGTGCACCGTGTGGTTCATGCAGACTCGACGAAACCTCGCGACGGTTGTCCGTCTGCTGTTTCAGGATTGTGTTGGGGGTGGGGGTGTGTGGGGGGTTGATTGCTTGTGCTGACGCTACCCCCCGGGTGACTAGCGGGTGACTACTCGCCCGCTCACCAACTCGCTTGGGCGACGAACCCCGGCCGCATGGGTTCGATTCCCGGACGCGGGGGTACAGCATCATCGATGTCTCCGGGACTGTCCCCCCCTCCCCCCTAGTCAGGCCTTGCGCTTTAAATGAGTGGTGTGTAAAACGTGAGCGCTTGGGGAGACAAAGGCGGCCGTGCGTGCAGCTCACCACACTGACGTCGCCCCAAATTGCGCGCCGTGGCGGGCCTTCATAGGTGCTCGCTAACAGCACTTGCTCCAACATTGTGTAATGGTTTTTACGTTGTGATGCGCGTGCGTGTGTGTGTCTGTGTGTGTGTTTCTGTGTGTGTCTGTGTGTGTGGGTGTGAGCGGTGGTGTAGCGGTTAGCGCACTGCGCTACGAACCTGGCGACCCGGGTTCGATTCCCGCTCACGGCCGACACCCAGTCACGATTATCTGAACAGGTTTCTGGGCCTCCCCTAGGTCGACTCAGCCTCAAATGAGTGCATGGTGCGGTGTCTAAATATCGCCACTGTGCCGGCCTTCACAGGTGCTGCTCGCTAACAGCACTTGCCCCGTACAGGCTGCTAAGGCTACACGGGGGATCTTTGTCTTTGCGTGCGTGTGTGTGTGTGTGTGCGCCCACAGAAGTTACTCACGGAGTTGCTGTACTGCCTCAAGTACAGCACACTCAGGGGTTCCCAGGACAACTTGCGACAGGAGAAACTCACCTTCCTGGCACAGGTGACACTCGCAATGGCTTCCACAGCTCACCGCCGTCACCACCACCACCATCATCATCATCAATCGTGAGCCACGCTCCATCCACTGCTGAGTGAAGGCCTCTTGCAAAGCCGTCGCGCTGCCGCCCGCATGATGAACAAAGACGCGTGTGGGAGTGATCTACGCCTCGCTGAGTCTTTCCCGGGAAGTTGGGGATATTGACATCCAGAGGTAACTAGAAAAGCCGAAGCAAACCCAGTAGGCGGGGGTGGGGAGAGAGAGGGTGGGGGGAGGTGACACTCAAATCTCCGCACGGATGGATTCAAGAATCCATCGCTGTTGCTGCGTATTTGTAACTATACCACTCGCAGTCCAAGAAAATAAAAACAAACACGCACAGCCAGCGAATTCCACCTCCTACGTTGAAACTCGCAACCCAGGGCAACCATGACCACGGTTTTGCTCCACGTGCTTTGTTATGCAGGGTGTGTGTGTGTCTTTGTGTGTGTCTGTGTGTGTGTGTCTGTGTGTGTGTCTGTGTGTGTGTCTTTGTGTGTGTCTGTGAGTGTCTGTATGTATGTATGTGTTTGTGTCTGTATGTGTGTGTGTCTGTATGTGTGTGTGTCTGTATGTGTGTGTGTCTGTATGTGTGTGTGTGTCTGTATGTGTGTGTGTGTCTGTATGTGTGTGTGTGTCTGTGTGTCTGTATGTGTGTGTGTGTGTCTGTGTGTGTGTGTGTGTGTCTGTGTGTCTGTGTGTGTGTCTGTGTGTCTGTCTCTGTGTGTGTGTCTCTGTGTGTGCACGTGTGTGTGTCTGTGTGTGCACGTGTGTGTGTCTGTGTGTGCACGTGTGTGTGTCTGTGTGTGCACGTGTGTGTGTCTGTTTGTGTGTGTGTGTGTCTGTGTGTGTATGTGTGTGTGTCTGTGTGTGTGTGTGTGTGTCTATGTGTGTGTGTCTGTGTGTGTGTCTATGTGCGTGTGTGCGCGTGTGTGTGTGTCTGTGTGCGTGTGTGCGCGTGCGTGTGTGCGTGTCTGTGTGCGTGTGTGTGCACGTGTGTGTGTGTGTTTGCGTGAGGGGGAACGGTAGTGTAGCGGTTAGCGCTACGCTGCGCTATGAACCTGGCGACCCGGGTTCGATTCCCGCTCACGGCCAACACCAGTGACGATTATCTGAACCGGTCCCGGGCCTCCCCTAGGTCGACTCAGCCTCAAATGAGTACCTGGTGCGGTGTGTAAACATCACCACTAGGGAGACAAAGGCGGTCGGGCGTGGTGCTGGCCACCCACCCCCTCGTGTACCGTTCCGGCCTTCATAGGTGCTCGCTAACAGCACTTGCCCCTACAGTCTGTTAAGGCTATACGGGGGATCTTTGTCTTTTGTGTGTTTGCGTGCGTGTTTGTGTGCGTGTGTGTACGCGTGTGTGCGTGCGTGTGTGTGCGTGTGCGCGTGTGTGTGCGTGTGCGTCTGTGTGTGTGTGTGCGCGTGTGTGTGTGTGTGTGTGCGCGTGTGTGTGTGTGTGTGTGCGCGTGTGTGTGTGCGTGTGCGTGTGTGCGCATGTGTGTGTGCGTGTGTGCGCGCGCGTGTGTGCATGTGTGGGGAGCCGGTAGTGTAGTGGTTAGCCCGCCGGGCTACGAACCCGGCAACGCGGGTTCGATTCCCGCTCACGGCCAACGCCGGTGACGATCTATCCGAATCTGTCGTGTGCCTCCCCTAGGTACGACTCAGCCTCAAATGAGTACCTGGTGCGGTGTGTAGTAAACATCGCCACTGGGGGAGACAAAGGCAGCCGGGCTGTGGTGCTGGCCACCCATCCGCCCCCTCGTGCGCCGTGCCGGCCTTCACCGGTGCTGCTCGCTCACAGCACTTGCCGCAAACAGGCTGCTGCAGGCTACACGGGGGATCTTTGTCTTTGCGAGCGAGCGAGCGAGGGTGTTGGGGGAGCCGCTAGTGATGCCTTCAGCATCCAAGCAGCAGCAGCAGCATCAGCAGCAGCAGGATCGTCGTCATCGCTGAGAAAGCTCGGCAAGCTTCAAATCAATATTGAAAGAGCCATGACACAAATTCCTGTGTAAACAAGGCAAGTTGAGATACTTTGGGCCCCACCCCGAATTAAATTGATAATAAGAATAAGAATGAAATAACAATCATCATAATAATAATAACGACAAGAGCCGATTGAATAATGTGAGAAGTCGATTTGATTCCAAGTCAAATCGACTTTTCGGGGAGCCTTTTCAATTCCTCATTTTTCTCTTCCGCCTTTGAAATTTGTTTCCTTCTACCACTTTCATCCACCGTCTCGTACGCAACGTCCCGGTTTTTTTTTATGTTATTCATTTCCCTGTTAAACTCGCAAACTCACGACCTCTCAATTTCCATGAAACGTGTAATGCAAATGTTCCCGTTTCCGTGATTGTGACGCCGATCAAATCCCCAGGCCCCCAGAGCCCTCGGATATAGAAACGCGCATTGAGATGATTTCGTCTTCTTTGGTTCTTTCGGTAAAGTCACCACGTAGAATGAGAATAAAATAATAAAATAAAATAACACAATAAAATTCTCACGACGTTTCGGCCACAACACAAGTGGCCTTCATCAGGTGAAGGGACGAGACTGCCTCGCTCCAGCGCTGTCCTCGAGACAGTCTCGTCCTTCACCTGATGAAGGCCGCTTGTGTTGTGGCCGAAACGTCGTGAGAATGTTATTGTGTTATTTTATTTCATCAATTTATTATTTTATTCTCATTCTACGTGGTGGTGACTTTACCGAAAGAACCAAAGCAGATGAATCCTTGCAGTCACGAAAGCTTCAAATCGAAAGGTGATTTCGATTCATTTGACCTCTTCTAAATGTCCAAACGACGGGGCCCACTTCGTTGAGCTGCCCTTTGTGGCCAGGTCGCTTCTAACGATTCCGCTGATACATCAGCAGGGCTTTGCCTGGTAGGATGGGGATGGTTTAGTGGTGTATTTGTATTTGCTTGGGATATTTGTTTGCTTCTCTCGTACCTTGAGCTCCCATCGCGTGTTTGTACCGCCTGTTGTTGGAACTTTCTTGCCACGTGGGCACATGGGTTAAAATCCTGGTATGGGTGTCTCTCAATATTTTAAAGATCTGGGTTCAACTCCTGGTCTGGGTGTCTCTCCGTATATTGAGAGCCTGGGCTCAATCCCTGATTTTGGTATTTCTCTGGAAATTAAGGGTCCAGTTTCAGTTCCTGTTTTTAGATTCAGCATCTGGGTTCAATTCATGGGATGAGTTTCTCTCCAGAGATTAACCGTCTGGATTAAATTCCTGGTCTGGGTGTCTCTCCGTATATTGAGAGCCTGGGCTCAATCCCTGATTTTGGTATATCTCTGGAAATTAAGGGTCCAGTTTCAGTTCCTGTTTTTAGATTCAGCATCTGGGTTCAATTCATGGGCTGGGTTTCTCTCCAGAGATTAACCGTTTGTCTGCGTTAAATTTCTGGTCTGGGTGTCTCTCCATATTTTAAGGGTTCTGGGTCCAATTCCCGGTCTCAGCATTTCTCTGGCGATGAAGCGTCTAGTTTCAGTTCCCTGGTTCGAGTGTCTCCATATTTTAAGGGTCTGTGTTCAATTTCTGGCCGCGGTATTTCTCTGGAATCCAAGGGCCTCGTTTCAGTTCCTGGTTCGGTGTCTCTCCAGTGATTAAGGGTCCTGTGTTCAATCCCAGATCTGGGTGTCTGTGTGCGAGTGTATGGGTCCCTAGGTCGACTCAGACTCAAATGAGTACCCGGTGCGGTGTGTAAACATCGCCACGAGGAAGACAAAGGCGGCCGAGTGTGGTGCTGGCCACCCACCCCCTCGTGTGCCGCTCCGGCCTTCATAGGTGCTCGCTAGCAGCACTTTCCCCAATAGCCTGTTCAGGCTTTTCGGAGGTGTCTTGTCTTCGTTCTCTGTATGCCTGTGTATTTTATCACGTGGTCGACTCAGCCTCAAGTTGAGCACCTGGTGCGGTGTGCAGTAAACACCGCCGCTAGTGGAGACAAAGGTGGCCAGGCGGGACGTGGCGCTGCCCACTCCGCACCCTCGTGTACCGTGCCAGCCTTCGCAGGGAGCTACTCGCGAGCAGCACTTGCCCCCAACAGCCTGGTCTTGGGCTATACGGGTGACCTTTTTCCCCTGTGTGTCTTTGCCGCGTGTCCTCGCACAGGCATTCGGCTGCAGCACTGAAGTCATGCAGGCAGCGCTGGACAGCGTCAATAATGCCAAGGTGAGGAAGGTGACCCTTCGCTACATTGCCATCACTATTAGTTGGGGAGCCACGGTGGCTACGAGATGTTGACTACCTCGCCTGGTATACAGGAGGTCGTGGGTTCGATCCCGGCCCTTGATGATGCCTGTTATATTTGGAGCTCACGTGCCTCTCTCATCATCATCACGGTGGCTAGGAGATGTTGACTACCTCGCCTGGTACACAGGAGATCGTGGGTACGATGCCGACCCTGACGCCTGCTATATATTTGGAGTTTGCGTGTCTCTCTCATCATCATCATCCCGGTGGCTAAGAGATGTTAACTACCTCGCCTCGTACACAGGAGGTCGTGGGTTCGATCTCGACGCTTGACGATGCCTGCTGCTGTATATTTGAAGCTTGTATGTCTCTCTCTCTCTCCCCGTGGTTCACGTGTATTCCCCCCCCCCACGTCACATTTATAAACGTGCGTTTAAGAGTAATTGGGCTGCTATGAATGTCCACATGACGACGATGATGATAATATCATTTGTGATGGGCCAGGTCGCTTCTGAAAACGAGAGTTATATAGCTCAGTGAGGCCTTCCACCTGGTAAAATAAAATAAAAAAAGTGGCAATCATAGAACGATCGTCGCAGCGAGTTGCCAACGCTGCGACATCGCCACCCAACCTGTCACGAAGGAATTGACCTCTGACCCTCCAAACGAGTTCTCGCAAGTGAAACGCTGCTGGGTGAAATGACATCAAGTGTCTATGTAAGTTACAGCCGTTTTTTTTTTAGCTTAGAGGACGCGACCTGGGCTTGGCTGTTTTCACTCCAACGCTGTCCTCATGACAGCACGGTCCCTTCACCCGATGAAGGCCACTTGTGTTGTGGCCGAAACGTCGTGAATTTTTTTGTTGTTGTTTTTTTTACGTGACTTTACCGAACAGAACCAAAGAGTACAGCCGTTTTGCCACTTCACTGCTGGATTAAGGCCTTGACCTACACCGTGTCGGCCAAGGGTGGGGGTGAGCGTTTAGTGGGGGAGGGAGGGTGGTTTGTATGTTTGACCATACTTCACCAGGCCAGTTAGTGCACGTTGGTTGAAGGTGGGCAGGACAGATTGCTGCAGAGATCCACTCGCCGCCGATGTTAGCCGGGGGAATTGGACTCGGTTCGGGGATGGCTTCATAGCGCGGTGCGCTAACCGCTGCACCACCGCTCCCCGCACATACATACAGGAGAAAGACAAAGATTCCCCTGCGTATAGCCTTAACAGACCGATGGGGCAAGTGCTGTTAGCGAGCACCTATTAAAGCCGGCGCAGCACACGAAGGGGGGTGTGCGGGCAGAACCACGCCCGACCGCCTTTGTCTCCCCAGTGGCGATGTTTTACTACACACCTCACCAGGTACTCATTTGAGGCTGAGTCGACCTAGGGGAGGCCCGGGACCGACTCAGAAGGTCGGAACACACGAGCGAGGGAGGTGGGTGGCCAACACCACCACCACTACCACCACCACCACCACCACCACCACGCCCGACCGCCTTTGTCTCCCCACCTCTCCCCCGCCCCCCAATCTCAGGCTCCAGTTTTCAAAGTGCGGCTGCTCCTGGGAGGGGCGGCCGGGTTACAGAACAAGAGCGTGGACGGTGAGGAAGCTCCGAACGCGCGGTGCCGGATAATAATCCTAGTAGCTAAAGTAGCCACATGTGTAGTAGCTACATATGTAGTAGCAACTACATAAGCATAGGTACTTATGCAGTAGCTACGGGCCCCGGGTTTTCAAGGGCCCCGCGCTAAATGTTTTCAAGCTATCAATTCCGGTTCGGTGATTCTGCAACTTGCTCTATTACTATAGTACTATACCGCCCTTAAACTTTTTTTTACGAACGACTGGGTGTTTAAGGTTAGCGATTTGTCTTATTATCTGACTGTGTAGCAAATGAAAAATAAATACAATTCCTTTACTATGCATGTTAATCATTCGTGTTTTAATATTTGTGTTTTTTTTTGTATTTAGGGCCCCTTTATAACATTTGCTACAGGCACCCCCACTAGCTTCATCCGACACTGCGAGCGCGGAGGAGGGGGCGGGGGGGCCGGGGGGGGGGGAGGGGGGGGGGGGCGGCCAGGTCGTCCGGGCCCTCGAGTTAATGATCTATTCATCACCAGGCACCGTAGTCAACATCGACTGGCAGACTGATGCCTCGCTCGCAGGGCCAAGTGGCAAGTGTAGTGAGCGAAAAACAAACTAAACACAAAACACAGTTATAACGAAATTAGGTGTTCAGTCGAGATTATTTAAAAGTGCATAACTCCCAGTGGATTCCTTGCGGAATGAGCAGCGGCAGAGTGGGGGGTCCCACATCTGAACAGGGAAATCCTACGGTGGGCAGCATGGGGGGGTCCCACATCTGAACAGGGAAATCCTACGGTGGGCAGCATGGGGGGGTCCCACATCTGGACAGGGAAATCCTACGTTGGGCAGCGTGGGGGGGGTCCCACATCTGGACACGTCCACGCGTGCGATAACGCAATTTGTTTTCGGTTCACTGTGACCAACGACGTTGGTGCGCAAAGTCGCCCGCTGCATGTGGTGCTTGTGGTGTTGGGGGCGGTGGGGGGTAGGTGGAGGGGTGAGCGGTAGTGTGGTAGCTGTTAGCGCGTTACCGCTATCAACCCGGCGAGCCGAGTTGGATTTCCGCTCACGCCCACCTACACCATTGGCAATTTTCTGAACACGGTCCTGGGCCTCCTTTGTGTTGTAAACATCGCTACTGGGGAGACAAAGGTGGCCGGCCGTGATGGTCCTGGCCACCCACCCCCTCGTGTGTGCCACAGTGCTGGCCTTCATAGGGTGCTGCTACTCACTACAAACAGCACTTGCCCCAGCAGTCTGTTGAGGTTATACGGGGGGGTCTTTGTGTCTTTGTCTTCGTAGGTATTACTCGCTATCCCAGCACTTGCCCCGGCAGTCTGCTGAGGCTGTACGGGGGGTCTTTGTCTTTGTGTCTATGTCTTCGGAAGTGCTACTCGTTATTAACATCACTTGCCCTGACAGTCTGTTGAGGCTATACGGGGGATCTTTGTCTTTGTAGCTATATGTCCTCCGTGCCCCCCCCCTCCTCCCCCTTCGCTAAGGCTGCGAACCTCCTTTTTCCGCGTCATCTTTCCGCTCGCCTTGCCTCAAGTTAGAGGAAGCTGCCGATTTTGAGCGTAAACAGGAACATCGTCAAAAACAATACAAACAGACTGGTTTGGGAGGTATTTTAAGGCGACGGATCGTCACCGTTTATCGGCCGACCGTTTTGCTTACGAATCTCGATCTACAAATGTATGATTTGATTGTTTTCCGGCCCCGGATTTAAAAGTTGGCTTTCTAAATTGTCCTCCCGTCGTCCCCGCGTGGCAGCGGTGGAAAAAAAAAGCTTCACAGCTCATCGGATTCCTTCCTCCAGTGTAAATAAATATTCTGATCTCGACCCTGGTCACTCTTCACCGACGGCCGTCGGGGTTCGTAACACGGCTCCCCCCACAGTGATCATCGGTGCGGCGATGCCACCCAGACCCTGGATCATACCATGAACCCATAGAGACACACAGAGATGCACAGAGGTACACAGAGACTCATAGAGACACATGGAGTTATATATATACACACTCGGGCTGGCTTGGGTATGGCAGTGTAAAAACCACCCAGACCGTCAGGGTCTCGTGCTGGATCGGGAGTAGCGGTGGAATAACCATCAGGACCATGAGGGCATTTGGCTGGCTCGGAAGTGGCGGTGGAAAAACCATCAGGACCGTAAGGGCCTTCAGCTGGCACGGGTGTGGCGGTGGAAAAAGGGTACCAAGTTTTTTCTCCCTGACCCCCCACCCCCTGCGCCCCCCCCCATCCCCTGCCCCCCCCCCCCCCATATCGCCCGCAGGCCCCAGCCGGCCGTACGTGACGCTGTGCCTGGGGAGGCAGGCGGAGGCGAGTGACGCGGGCGGCCTGCAACGGAGCGCCGTCAGGGAAGGGCCCCAGCCGACGTGGAAACAGACGTTCATCATGTACGCAGCAGCACCCCCCCCCCTCCCTCACACTTCCCCTGCCCCCCCCCCCCGACACCACCAACCCCCTCCCCCACCCCCTCCGCCCCCCACACTGGGTATCGCGATGACCTCTTGATCTTTCGCTAGGGGTGCCGTACCGCGGTGGCGAGATGTTAACTCCCTCGCCTGGTATGCAGGAGGTCACAGGTTTTGTATGGATAGTCTCTTGGTCTCTATGTAAGTCTACTTACTATGAGTGGTTATGTGAGTCTATCGTTCTCTACGTGAGTGTATGGGTCTCTGTGTGAGTCTATGGGTCTCTGTGTGAGTCTACGTACTGTGGGTCTGTATGCGAGTTTATGGGTCTCTATGTGAGTCTATGGGTCTCTATGTCAGTGTGTGGGTCTCTACGGGTTGGTATGTGAGTCTCTATTGGTCTTCATGCGTCTCTGTGTATCACTAATTCTCTAAGAGGATCTTGAGAATTAGTGATATTGCACAGTCACCTTTTGACCTTGACCTTCCTCTCGTCCTCTCAGTGACCTGGAGAATTCAGACAGCCAGGCTCTGGTGCTCAATGTATGGTGAGTGAGCAGCCTCTCTATCCTCTATCACCTGGTTAGAGGTTACAGAGACACGTAGATTAATCTACTAACATTGATCTTCCATCACCTGGGTAGAGGTTACAGAGACACGTAGATTAATCTACTAACATCGATCTTCAATCACCTGAGTAGAGGTTGCAGAGACACGGAGATTCATCTACTAATATCGATCTTCCATCACCTGGGTAAGAGCTTACAGAGACACGTAGATTAATCCAATAACATCGATCTTCCATCACCTGGGTAGAGGTTGCAGAGACACGTAGATTAATCCAATAACATTGATCTTCCATCACCTGGGTAGAAGTTACAGAGACACGTCGATTAATCTAGTAACATTGATCTTCCATTACCTGGGTAGAGGTTACAGAGACACGTAGATTAATTTACTAATATCGATCTTCCATCACCTGGGTAGAAGTTACAGAGACATGTAGATTCATCTACTAACATTGATTTTCCATCACCTGGGTAGAGGTTACAGAGACACGAAGATTCATCTACTAAGATCGATCTTCCATCACCTGGGTAGAGCTTACAGAGAGACGTAGATTCAACTACTAATATCGATTTTCCATGACCTGGGTAGAGGTTACAGAGACACGTCGATTCATCTACTAATATCGATCTTCCATGACCTGGGTAGAGGTTACAGAGACACGTCGATTCATCTACTAATATCGATCTTCCATCACCTGGGTAGAGGTTACAGAGACACGTAGATTCATCTACTAACATTGATCTTCCATCACCTGGGTAGAGGTTACAGAGAGACGTAGATTCAACTACTAACATCGATCTTCCATCACGTGGGTAGAGGAGGAGAAGGGTGATGAGGTGCAGAGTAGAGGAGGAGGAGGAGAGTGATGAGGTGGAGAGTGGAGGAGGTTGCGGGGGGTGACTTCTGTATGACCACGTGGCCCCCACTCACGTCGCCCGTCCGCTGCGTGCCCCCCCAGGAACCAGCAGAGTGGGAACTCTCTCGTGCGCATGCTGACCAAGCTGAGCAGCGCACGGCGCCTCCAGCGGTGAGAGAGCCGACGGGCGGCGCAGGCATCTGCAGAATGCACACAACAACAACAACAAGAACCGCCATTCGCCACTAAGTGGCGGTGACGTCACCACGACGCTTGTGCCAGGCACACACACACAAAGATCAAAGACAATGATCCCCCGTATAGCCTTAACAGACTGTAGGGGCAAGTGCTGTTAGCGAGCAGCACCTATGAAGGCCGGATCGGTACACGAGGGGGTGGGTGGCCAGCACCACGCCCGACCGCCTTTGTCTCCTTAGTGGCGATGTTTACGCACCGCACCAAGTACTCATTTGAGGCTGAGTCGACCTAGGGGAGGCCCGGGACCGGTTCAGATAATCGTCACTGGTGTTGGCCGTGAGCGGGAATCGAACCCGAGTCGCCAGGTTCATAGCGCAGCGCACTAACCGCGACACTTTCGCTCCCCACACACACACACTGACATACACACACAGACACGCACACACAGACACACACACACACAGTCACACACACACACAGTCACAGAGATCCAGGCGGTACCGGTCCAGCTCCCGGCAGAGGAGTGGCAGCCTCTCCTCCGCAGTGAGCGTTTGAACATTCCACGGGGCCATACGTAGTGGTTTTTCGTTGTTTCTGGAGGAGCCCCGAGGGTAAGGATTCAGTCTCCTGGCTCCGCCAAGTGGGGTTTGGCCAGGAGACGTCATAGACGCCTGTCCCCCCGGGGCCTCCGGCACAAGCTTATTCGTTAGATATTTCAGTCGTGGTTTAGTGGTAATTAATTGAAGGTGGTGGGGTTACCAGCCCCTCACCCACGTCCAGAGCCCCCATTTAGCCGCTGTGGTGGTCACAGACGCCATGAGGGGAAAGGCCAATCGGAATTGGCCCTCACCCCCCACAGCACTGTCCACGACAGCGTTGCGCGTCCGGCACCGCGAGGAGGTAGGGGGTTGTTTTGCCGGACAAACACACAATCTCATACACACACCGTCACACAGAGGTCCCTCGAGTGTTCCACTCCGTATGTTCAACGTGAAGTGTTCCAACACAATATGGTCCGCCCCACACACCACGTGTCCCCCTCCAACACGTGTCCCCCCCACCACGTGCCCCCCCCACCACGTGCCCCCCCCCCCACCACGTGTGCCCCCCAGGTGGGTGAAGCAGGCGGTGAAGCGTCTCCGTGAGGACCGCACGGCCGGGAAGCTCTCACGTCGCGACGACTTCCTAGGCCAAGTGTCGCTCTCTCTGCAGGCGAGAGCCCCGTCAACAACAACAACAACAAACAAACAACAACAACGTTCACAACACCGTTAACGATCGCAACAACAACCTCAACAACATTGACAACAATCTCAACAGCAACATTGGCAACAGCCTTAACGGCAACCTTAACAACAGCAACCTCAACGACAACAGCAAACTTAACAACAACTTTACCAACGATCCCACCCCCACGTCCACCAACGTCCTCGTATTCCAGAGCTCCCTGTCTCTACTAAATTCCTCGTCCACCCGTGACCCCCGTGACCCCCCCGCCCCTCCCCCATGTCGTCTCCACGTGCAGGATCTGCCTGTGCAGTCCCAAGAGGTGTGGTTGAAACTGGAGCCACGCTCGGACCGCTCGCTCGTGAGCGGAGAGGTCAGCGTCTCCGTGTCCTTCATCACCAGCCGGGTACTGCCCCCCCACCCTCACCCCTCGCCCCCCCCCCCCCCCCTGCCCATTCACTCCGCTCACCCACCAGCGGCCAGTCCCCTCCTCATGGCTCTTCTATAGCTAAGACCGCGGTCACGGTACCCCACCAACCCCCCCCCCCCCTTCACACCGTCGTGAATCTGTCGCTCGTTGATTCTTCCGGCCGCTTTGGGAACTCGGCTTCTACCAGACGCCGACCGTCTCGTCTCGCACGCACCGCTCAACTACTCACCCGTCCACTCACCCACTCACTCGCCCATTCGCTCGCCCACTCGTTCGCCCACTCGTTCGCCCACTCACTCACCCACTCACTCACCCGTCCACTCACCCACCCACTCGCCCACCCGCTCACCCACTCACTCACTCACTCGCCCACTCACTCGCTCACTCAGCTACTCAACCATCCACTCACTCGCTCACTCAAACGCCCACTCAGCTACTCAACCATCCACTCACCCATCCACTCGCCCACCCGCTCACCCACTCACTCGCCCACTCACTCACCCACTCACTCACTCGCTCACCCACATGCCCATTAGCTACTCACCCATCCACTCGCCCACTCGCTCACCCACTCACTCGCTCACTCACTCACCCACACGCCCACTCAACTACTCAGCTATCCACTCACCCAATCACTCACCCACCCGCTCACCCACTCACGCACCCACTCACTCACCCACTCACTCGCTCACCCACATGCCCACTCAGCTACTCACCCATCCATTCACCCATCCACTTACCCATCCACTCACCCATCCACTCACCCACTCACTCGCCCACTCACTCACCCACCCGCTCACCCACTCACTCGCCCACTCACTCGCCCACACGCCCAACCAGCTACTCACCCATCCACTCGCCCACTCACTCACCCACTCACTCGCCAACTCACTCACTCACTCACTCGCTCACCCACACGCCCACTCAGCTACTTACCCATCCACTCACCCACTCACTCACCCACACGCTCACCCACTCACTTACTCACCCACTCACGCACCCACCCACTCAACCACTCACCCACTCATCCACTCACCCACCCACTCACCTACCCACTCACTCACGCACCCACCAACTCACCCACTCACGCACCCACCCACTCACTCACCCACTCACTCACTCACCCACTCACCCACTCACCCAAACACCCACCCACTCACCCACTCACCCACCCACTCACCCACTCACGCACCCACCCAAACACCCACCCACTCACCCACTCACCCACTCACCCACCCACTCACCCACTCACGCACCCACCCACCCACTCACCCACTCACGCACCCACCCACCCACTGACCCACCCACTAACCCTCTCACTCACCCACTCACTCACCCACACACTCTCGCACCCACCCACTGACCCACCCACTCACCCACCCACTTACTCACCCATCCACGCACTCACCACCAATTCAATCATCCACGCACTCACTGACCCACATTGTGTTTAACCACCACTGCACTGCAGGTCACTCACACACAATTCGCTTCTTGGTCAACAGTTTTTATAACATTTTTTCAAGCGATTTTCTGATACCACCCCCCGCCTTCACTCGTCCACCCCCACTGGATATTGTTTGTTGTTGTTGTTGCTGCGAAGTTTTACTGATTTCGGCTCCAGATTCTTCGATCAGCGGCTCCGGTGTAAATTTTCTGTAGCCGGCCTTGCGCCAGGCCCTGCCGAGAGATCCGGCGTGGTGGCCGTGGTGGTGTATGTACGTTGAACTTTTTCCACACAGTACGTAGCAAACTGTGCTAAAAGGAGGTGTGGGCGGGGGGAAGGACAACAAACTATGTGTCTCTGTGTGAGTCTATGTGTCTCTGTGTGAGTCTATGGGTCTCTGTGTGAGTCTATGGGTCTCTGTGTGAGTTTATAGGTCTCTGAGTAAGTCTATGGGTCTCTTTGTGAGTCTATGGGTCTCTGTGTGAGTCTATGGGTCTCTGTGTGAGTCTATGGGTCTCTGTGTGAGTTTATAGGTCTCTGTGTAAGTCTATGGGTCTCTGTAGTGAGTCTATGGATCTCTGTGCGAGTCTATGTATCTCTGTGTGAGTCTATGTATCTCTGTGTGAGTCTATGGGTCTCTGTGTGAGTCTATGGGTCTCTGTGTGAGTCTGTGGGTCTCGGTGTGAGTCTATGGGTCGCTGTATGAGTCTATGGGTCTCTGTAGTGAGTCTTTGGGTCTCTGTGTGAGTTTCTTGGTCTCTGTGTGAGTCTATGGGTCTCTGTGTGAGTCTATGGGTCTCTGTGTGAGTCTATGTATCTCTGTGTGAGTCTATGTATCTCTGTGTGAGTCTATGGGTCTCTGTAGTGAGTCTTTGGGTCTCTGTGTGAGTCTATGGGTCTCTGTGTGAGTCTATGTATCTCTGTGTGAGTCTATGTATCTCTGTGTGAGTCTATGGGTCTCTGTAGTGAGTCTTTGGGTCTCTGTGTGAGTCTATGGGTCTCTCCTGTGAGTCTATGGGTCTCTGTGTGAGTCTATGGGTCTCTGCGTGAGTCTATGGGGCTCTCCTGTGAGTCTATGGGTCTCTGTGTGAGTCTATGGTCTCTCCTGTGAGTCTTTGGGTCTCTCCTGTGAGTCTCTGGGTCTCTGTGTGAGCCTATGGTTCTCTGTGCGTGTCAATGTACGTATGTCTGTTAACTTCTTTAGCACCATACGTAGCAAATTGTGCTGATCGTAGGTGCAGGGGAAAGACAAGCTGACCACAATCTGGACGATGACGATGATTATGATGATTATTTAAAAGTTGCATAGCTCCGGTAGCTTCCCAATATCGGAAGGAAAGAACGTTCCAGACGGCCGCGGAAGCGCCATCTGAAAGCGCCGTGCGATGATGATGATGATGATGCGGTGATCACCGTCTTTGTACGACGGCTGAGCCAAAAAAGCCGCTGCTGCTCCTGCTGCGAGGATGACCGGGGTTGTTCACGTGATCGTGGTGAATCGCTCTTTGTGACGAGATCGGCAAAGGGGCAGTCCATAAATGACGTCACTCACCTGTGAGGGGGCTCAGACATTTGTGACGATGTGTGACGACGGGGGGGGGGGGGGGGGGTGGGGGGGGTTTGAGAAATGTGACGTCACGTCAAAATGCGCAACTTTAAATAAATATAGACAACACGTTCTACTTAATTAAATAGACTTTTATATAAATGTTTTCTCCTACAACATCAGAGTGCAGCGCCACATTAAATACGCGCTACAATGACAACAATAGTTTAAAGCGATTTGAAGCATGTTTTATTATTTTTTTGGGGGGGGGGGGGCGCAGAGCTTTGTGACGTCATATTTGAGGGAGGGGGGGGGGGAGGTCTGACTTTTTGTGACGCCGTCTGACGAGGAGGGAGGGGGGGGCAAAAAAATCGTCCCAAATCTCGTGACGTCATTTACGGACGCCCCCCCCCCCCCCCCAAGGGTCACAGTTTCGCGGTTGATCCGTGGCGAGCCCTTGGCTGTTGCCTGCGACGACCGCGGCCATCGGTCGGCGGTGCACTCCGTCTGGCAAGCGCAAAGCCGGTCCACGGGCCGCCATCGGGCATCCGCTGTGCGTCACGTGGGGGTGGTGGATGGGGTCTGGGTTTGGCTGTTGTTGTTTTTTTTCGCTGCTTTAAATTGCCCGTTAATTCTTGGCAAATTGGTTGCTTCGTGCGGCCGCGTCCCCGTTCGCCCTCGGAGGCGGAGCACGAGCCTACGGGATGCAGTCCCCTTACCGCTTTACCGTCGGGGCCTGAGCGAAATGCCCTCCCGGCTGTTTCAGGGTTCATGTTCCCAGCTCTTTCGGTAAAGTCACGTTGAAGGGAAACAATAAAATATATATATATATAAAACAGGTATTTAAAATATATATAAAACATATGTTTATTATTTTATCGTTTGCCTTCAACGTGACTTTACCGAAAGAGCTAAGAATATGAATTACTGCAGTCACGAAAGCTTTAAATCACAATTTGTTTCAGGGTTGTTTACATATATATGTAAATGCAGATATGAGTGCTGATTGTCGCTTGCCCGCTTGATGCCCTGGGCCTTTGGGGATGTGAACGAGGAAGAGATCTGTGGTCCGCCGACCTCAGCGTTCTTGGGGCTCGGCAGCAGCAAGGGACCCCTCGGTGGCCGGGAGATGTTAACTACCTCGCCTGGTATACAGGAGGTCGTGGGTTCGATCCTGACCCTGACAACTGCTGCTGTAGATTTGAAGTCTGCGTGTCTCTCTCTGTCATCATCATCATCATCATCACGGTGGCCTGGAGATGTTGACTACCTCGCCTGGTGTGCAGGAAGTCGTGGGTTCGATCCTGACCCTGACACCTGCTGCTGTAGATTTGAAGTCTGCGTGTCTCTCTCTGTCATCATCATCATCACGGTGGCTAGGAGATGTTAACTACCTCGCCTGGTATGCAGGAAGTCGTGGGTTCGATCCTGACCCTGACACCTGCTGTATATTTGGAGTCTACCCGTTTCTCTCTGTCATCATCATCACAGTGGCTAGGAGATGTTAACTACCTCGCCTGGTATGCAGGAGGTCGTGGGTTCAATCCCGTCCCAGACGACGCCTGCTGCTGTATATTCAGATCTGATTGGTCGCCCCGTGCCCCTTATACATCTCAACGTTCATCCTACAAAGTCCCGTCACAAGGGAGAAACACAAACAGATTGTTAAAACTGTTTTTGTTGCCCGTATTGAAACGTCTGGCCGCCGTATTGACGTTAGAGCTCAATTCCCCTGTACAAGAATACACGATAAACCGTATGGGTTGACACGGTATGGTATAGTAGTGTATAGTGTAGTGTATAGTAGTGTAGTGTATAGTAGTGTAGTGTATAGTAGTGTAGTGTATAGTAGTGTATAGTAGTGTAGTGTATAGTAGTGTATAGTAGTGTAGTGTATAGTAGTGTAGTGTATAGTAGTGTAGTGTATAGTAGTGTATAGTAGTGTAGTGTATAGTAGTGTAGTGTATAGTAGTGTAGTGTATAGTAGTGTAGTGTATAGTAGTGTATAGTAGTGTAGTGTATAGTAGTGTATAGTAGTGTAGTGTATAGTAGTGTAGTGTATAGTAGTGTATAGTGTAGTGTATAGTAGTGTAGTGTATAGTAGTGTATAGTAGTGTAGTGTATAGTAGTGTAGTGTATAGTAGTGTATAGTAGTGTATAGTAGTGTAGTGTATAGTAGTGTAGTGTATAGTAGTGTAGTGTATAGTAGTGTAGTGTATAGTAGTGTAGTGTATAGTAGTGTAGTGCATAGTGTAGTGTACAAGAATTCGCGGTAAACCGTATGGGTTGACACGGTATGGTATAGTAGTGTAGTGTATAGTGTAGTCTAGTGTAATGTATAGTCTAGTGTAGTGTATAGTCTAGTGAAGTGTATAGTCTAGTGTAGTTTATAGTGTAGTATAGTTTATAGTGTAGTGTATAATGTAGTGTGTAGTGTATAGTAGTGTAGTGTATAGTGTAGTGTATAGTAGTGTAGTGTATAGAGTAGTGTACAAGAATACGGGGTAAACCATATGGGTTGACACGGTATGGTATAGTAGTGTATAGTGTAGTGTATAGTAGTGTAGTGTATAGTGTAGTGTATAGTAGTGTAGTGTATAGTAGTGTAGTGTATAGTAGTGTAGTGTATAGTAGTGTAGTGTATAGTAGTGTATAGTAGTGTAGTGTATAGTGTAGTGTACAAGAATACGCGGTAAACTGTTATGGGCTGACACGGTATGGTATAGTAGTGTAGTGTATAGTGTAGTGTATAGCAGTGTATAGTAGTGTAGTGTATAGCAGTGTATAGTAGTGTAGTGTATAGTGTAGTGTATAGTAGTGTAGTGTATAGTGTAGTGTATTGTAGTGCAGTGTAGTGTATAGTATTGTAGTGTATAGTGTAGTGTATAGTAGTGTAGTGTATAGTAGTGTAGTGTATATTGTATAGTAGTGTATAGTGTAGTGTATAGTAGTGTAGTGTATAGTAGTGTAGTGTATAGTGTAGTGTACAAGAATACGCGGTAAACCGTATGGGTTTGACATGGTATGGTATAGCAGTTTAAAGCATAGTAGTGTAAAGTCACGTAGAATGAGAATATAATAATAAATTAATAAAATCAAATAACACAATACTATAGTAGTGTATAGTATAGTAGTGTATAGTAGTGTAGTGTATAGTGTAGTGTCTAGTAGTGGAGTGTATAGTGTAGTGTCTAGTAGTGTAGTGTATAGTAGTGTAGTGTATAGTGTAGTGTATAGTAGTATAGTGTATAGTAGTGTATAGTGTAGTGTCTAGTAGTGTAGTGTATAGTAGTGTAGTGTATAGTGTAGTGTCTAGTAGTGTAGTGTGTAGTGTATAGTAGTGTAGTGTATAGTGTAGTGTATAGTGTATAGTGTCTAGTAGTGTAGTGTGTAGTGTAGAGTAGTGTAGTGTATAGTGTAGTGTATAGTAGTGTAGTGTATAGTGTAGTGTATAGTAGTGTAGTGTATAGTGTAGTGTCTAGTAGTGTAGTGTGTAGTGTATAGTAGTGTAGTGTATAGTGTATAGTAGTGTAGTGTATAGTGTAGTGTACATGTTATAAACCATCGATCCCTTCTCGCGCGCCCGCTTCCCCCTCCGTCTGTGTCGCGCGCGCAGAGAGACACACCACTGTCCGCCCAGGGGGGGTCCAAGGTGGACGTCTTCGAGAAACTTCTCTCCACCTTCGTCGAGTACGAGCACAGGACGGTGGTGAGTTTGACGGCGTCCACAGCTGTCGCTCATATTGGCCGTGACCCCCACCCCTCTCCCCTTCCCCCCTTGCCCCCCCACCGACTGCCCTGCCTGACCCCTCCGATGTTGTCGCGAGTTTCAGATGTTCGAGGCTCCGCGCTCGGCCCGTGATGCACGGCGGAGGGCGGGTGGCTGTCGAGGGTTGGATGGCGTTCACGTGGTCTGTGTGGGTGCTGTGTGTGCTGTGTGTGTGCTGTGTGTGATGTGCGCTGTGCGTGTCTGTGCTGTGTGCCGTGTTCGATGTGTGCTATGTGTGTGCTGTATATGATGTGTGCTGTGTGTGTGCTGTATGTGCTGTGTGTGTGTGTGTGCTGTGTGCGTGCTGTGTGTGTGCTGTATATGATGTGTGCTGTGTGTGTGCTGTATGTGCTGTGTGTGTGTGTGTGCTGTGTGCGTGCTGTGTGTGTGCTGTATATGATGTGTGCTGTGTGTGTGCTGTATGTGCTGTGTGTGTGCTGTGTGCGTGCTGTGTGTGTGCTGTATATGATGTGTGCTGTGTGTGTGCTGTGTGTGCTGTATATGATGTGTGCTGTGTGTGTGTGCTGCGCATGCGTGCTGTGTGTGCTGAATATGATGTGTGCTGTGTGTGTGCTGTATATGATGTGTGCTCTGTGTGTGCTGTGTGTGCTGTATATGATGTGTGCTTTGTGTGTGCTGTATGTGTGCTGTGTGGGTGCTGTATATGATGTGTGCTGCGCGTACGTGCTGTGTGTGCTGAATATGATGTGTGCTGTGTGTGCTGTATATGATGTCTGCTGTGTGTGTGCTGTATATGATGTGTGCTGCGCGTGCGTCCTGTGTGTGTTGTCGTGTGTGTGCTGTGTGTGTGCTGTATGTGTGCTGTGTATGATGTGTGCTGTGTGTGTGCTGTGTGTGTGCTGTATATGATGTGTGCTGTGTTCGTGCTGTGTGTGTTGTCGTGTGTGTGCTGTGCTGTGTGCTACGCAGGCTGGGGGTTGGCTGTCAGGGCTGTCCACAGACGCGATGGGGTTCCTGTCGCTCTACACCTCTCAGAGCGACGTTTCTCCCTTCCAGCAGAGCATCACGTGAGCACGTTGTGACGGCCAAGACACACACACACACGCGCGCGCAAAGACAAAAGTCCCCCGTATAGCCTTTGCCATGCTGTTGGGGCAAGTGCTGTTAACGAGTAGCAGCATCGATGCAGGCCGGCACGGCGCACGAGAGCGTGTGGGTGGTCAGCACCACGTCCCGGCCGCCTTTGTCTTCCCAGCGATGATGTTTAGGGGCACCACGGTGGCTAGGAGATGTTAACTACCTTGCCTGGTATACAGGATGTCGTGTGTTCGAGCCTAATCCTGACGCCTGCTGTATAATTGGAGTTTGTGTGTCTATCTCTCTCTCTGAGTCCTCCGGTTTTCCCCTCCACATTTAGAATCAACGTCAGGCGTTTCGAGTTATTTGGCTCCAGCTATAAATGTCCACGTGGTGAAGATGATGATGATGATTAGCCCACTTCGTTGAGCTATAATTTGTGATAGCCAGATCGCTTCTGATAAACAGCTACAACATAGCTGTGGGGCCTTACCTGGTAAAATAATTATAGTTTAGTTAGTTTTTGAGTGAGTGGGTGGGTGATTGGGTGAGTGGGTGGGTGGTTGAACGAGTGAGTGGGTGAGTGGGTGGGTAGTTGAATGGTTGAGTGGGTGGGTGAGTGGGTGGGTGGGAGATTGAGTGAGTGGGTGGACGGGTGAGTGAGTGGGTGGGTGGTTGGGTGAGTGGTGGGTGGTTGGATGAGTGAGTGGGTGAGTGGGTGGGTGGTTGAGTGGGTGGGTGAGTGGGTGAGAGGGTGGGTGGACAGGTCAGTGAGTGGGTGGGTGAGTGGGTGGCTGGTTGAGTGAGTGGGTGGACGGGTCAGTGAGTGGGTGAGTGGGTGTTTGAGTGGTTGAGTGGGTGGGTGAGTGGGTGGGTGGTTGAATGAGTGAGTGGGTGGGTGAGTGGTTGAGTGAGTGGGTACGTGGGTGGCCATCCCGTCTTAATTTGTGGGAGCCACGGTGTCTAGGAGATGTTGACTACGTCGCCTGGTGTACAGGAGGCCGTGGGTTCGATCCCCAGGCTGACGGGGGCAAGTGAGGGGCACGGGTGAGTGATGTCTCTTGCGATGTCACCGCCAGCGTGTGGCTGAAGTACGCGAGGATGCACGGCTGCGGGAGACGCGTCGAGTTCCGCATCCTGGAAGCCGCTCTGCTCGACATGGAGAAGGACTGGGACGCCCAGAAAGCCTACGAGCGCGTGAGTGGGTGGGTGTGTGGGTGAGCCGGTGGGTAGGGGAGTTGGTGCGTGGGTGAATGGGTGGGTGGGTAGGTTAGTGGTTGGGTAGGTGAGTGGGTGGGTGTGTGGGTGAGCGGGTGGGTAGGGGAGTTGGTGCGTGGGTGAATGGGTGGGTGGGTAGGTTAGTGGTTGGGTAGGTGAGTGGGTGGGTGTGTGGGTGAGCGGGTGGGTAGGGGAGTTGGTGCGTGGGTGAATGGGTGGGTGGGTAGGTTAGTGGTTGGGTAGGTGAGTGGGTGGGTGTGTGGGTGAGCGGGTGGGTAGGGGAGTTGGTGCGTGGGTGAATGGGTGGGTGGGTAGGTTAGTGGTTGGGTGGGTGAGTGGGTGGGTGGGTGAGCGGGTGGGTATGGGAGTTGGTGGGTGGGTGAATGGGTGGGTGGTTGAGTGGGTGGGTGAGTGGGTGGGTTTGTGGGTCAGTGACTGGGTGGGTAGGTGGTTGGTTGGTTGGTTTATTTTGTTTGGTGGTTGAGTGGGTGGTTGGTTGAGTGAGTGGATGGGTGGACGTCTCGTCGGAATTTGCGGGCCTCAAGGTGGCTAGCAGACGTTAACTACCTCTCCTGGTGTACAGGAGGCCGTGGGTTCAATCCCGACCCTGACGCCTGCTGTACTTTTGAAGTTTGAATGTTCTCCCCGTGGTCACGTGGATTTTGGCTCCTGGCCCTCCGATTTTTCTCTCCACGTTTAGCAACGTGCAAACTTTAGAGTATTTTGCTGCGATGAATGTCCACACTGTAAGCCTCTCCGTTGGGCTATCCCTTGCGACGGGCGGGTTCGCTTCTGAAAACGAGCTATTAAAAAAAAATGCTAAAAAAAAACAAACGCTAAAATTGTTTTGTTTTTAAATCGTTAAATTCAACATTTACAGGAACAGCTCGGTTAGCCAAACAGATGAATTCCGCCACGTCCCTCCGTAACCACTGCGGTGACGTTCCGCTCGCGCACAGACGCACGGGACGCACGCGAGGCGCTTGCGCCAGGCTAGGTGCACCACGAGGCTCGTCGAAGGGACGGAGACGAAGGCACGCGCGACCTCGTGTGCGCACGCCAACGCGGGCGGCCTGCTGACCCCGTGACCCCTCCACTGGGCATTCTGGGACAAAGAGCTTTATAGCTCATCGGATTCCTCCATGTGTCTGATGACGTGCGCCGCCCGTCCTCTCTCTCTAACCCCTCCACTCCATGACCCCCCCCCCCCCCCACCACCTCCCCCCACTAATCGCAAGCCACCATGGTGGCCGAGACAGGAAGTGGTGCAGGAAATTCCACGGGGTGTTGGGTGGGGGTGGTGGTAGTGGTGGTGGGTGGTGTTAGTGGTGGTGGGTAGTAGTGGGTAGTGGTGGTGGGTAGTGGTGGTGGGTAGTGGTGCTGGGTAGTGGTGCTGGGTAGTGGTGCTGGGTAGTGGTGGTGGGTAGTGGTGGGTAGTAGTGGGTAGTGGTGGTGGGTAGTGGTGAGTGGTGGTGGTGGATAGTCGTGGGTGGTGGTGGGTAGTAGTGGGTAGTGGTGGGTGGTAGCGGGGAGTGGTGGTGGTGGGTAGTGGTGGTGGTGGGTAGTAGTGGGTAGTGGTGGTGGGTAGTGGTGGGTAGTGATGGGTGGTGATGGTGGTGGTGGTGGTAGTGGCGGTAGCGGTGGGTGGTGGGTAGTGGTGGTGGTGGGTAGTGGTGGTGGTGGGTAGTAGCGGGGAGTGGTGGTGGGTAGTGATGGGTGGTGATGGTCGTGGTGGTAGTGGCGGTAGTGGTGGGTGGTGGGTAGTGGTGGTGGTGGGTAGTGGTGGTAGTGGGTAGTGGCTGGGTAGTGGTGGTGGGTAGTGGTGGTGGGTAGTGGTGGTGGGTAGTGGTGGTGGGTAGTGGTGGTGGGTAGTAGTGGCTAGTGGTGGTGGGTAGTGGTGGTGGGTAGTGGTGGTGGGTAGTGGTGGTGGGTAGTGGTGGTGGGTAGTGGTGGTGGGTAGTGGTGGGTCGTGGTGGTGGGTAGTGGTGGGTCGTGGTGGTGGGTAGTGGTAGTGGGTGGTGGTGGGTAGTCGTGGGTAGTGGTGGTAGTGGGTAGTGGCGGGGAGTGGTGGTGGGTAGTGATGGGTGGTGATGGTGGTGATGGTGGGTAGTGGTGGGTAGTGGTGGTGGTAGTGGTGTGTTGGAGAGTTGAACCCACACGTTCTGTTCACGTGGCCAAACCTTACAGATTTCCCGCTTAGGGTGGTAGTGGGTTAACGACACATTCACGTGATCTAACCTGAGAGAAAAAAAAAACCTTTATCACGAATAACATCGGTCGCGAAAGCCTACTGCACATCACATTTGGGACCGTCCATAAATTACGTCACCCACCTAGGGGGGGGGGGGTCAGACATTTGTGACGATGTGTGACGACGGGGGGGGGGGGGGGGGGGGTTGAGAAATGTGACGTCACATCAAAACGCGCAACTTTAAATAAATATAGACAACACGTTCTACTTAATTAAATAGACTTTTAAATAAATGTTTTCTCCTACAACATCAGAGTGCAGCGCCAAATTAAATACGCAACTACAATGACAACAATAGTTTAAAGCGATTTGAAACATTTTTTTTATATTTTGGGGGGGGGGGGGGGGTGGGTGGGGAGGGCAGAGCTTTGTGACGTCATATTTGAGGGGGGGGGGGAGGCGTCTGACTTTTTGTGACGCCGTGTGACGAGGGAGGGCGGGGGCGGGGTCTAAAATCGTCCAAAATCGCGTGACGTCATTTATGGACGGCAACCTTAAACAGGCGTCCGTCTCGGCCGTTCATTGACGGTGTTGCTGGGATGTCCTCCGCAGGCGGTGGAGTTGCTGGACAGTGTCCAACACTTCGTCGGACAGAGCCTGCGGATGCTGGAAGATCTCCTGTCCAGTTTCCCTCCCGATAACCCCGCGTCGACTGACCGGCTCACTTACCTGCTCAGGTGAGGTTACCCCTTTCTGATAATGCCCGCCCCCCGCTACCCACCCCCCCGGTCCCCCGGCTTCTGCCACAGTGGACCGGTCCACACCCACAGTGATGTGTAGGACTCATCCACTGCTCCAGTCGCGAAAGGGGGAGGTTTCTAAGCAGGCGGAATATTTGTTGTTAATTTAGTAACAGTCTGTGGGTCCAGTGTGAGTCTGTGGGTCCAGAGTGAGTCTGTGGGTACAGAGTGAGTCTATGGGTACAGAGTGAGTCTATGGGTCCAGAGTGAGTCTATGGGTACAGAGTGAGTCTATGGGTCCAGTGTTAGTCTATGGGTACAGAGTGAGTCTATGGGTCCAGAGTGAGTCTATGGGTCCAGAGTGAGTCTATGGGTCCAGTGTTAGTCTATGGGTCCAGAGTGAGTCTATGGGTCCGGAGTTAATCTATGGGTCCAGTGTTAGTCTCTGGGTCCAGTGTGAGTCTATGGGTCCAGTGTTAGTCTCTGGGTCCAGTGTGAGTCTATGGGTCCAGTGTGAGTCTATGGGTCCAGAGTGAGTCTATTGGTCCGGAGTGAGTCTATGGGTCCGGAGTGAGTCTATGGGTCCAGAGTGAGTCTATGGGTCCAGTGTTAGTCTATGGGTTCAGTGTTAGTCTATGGGTCCAGAGTGAGTCTATGGGTCCAGAGTGAGTCTATGGGTCCGGAGTTAATCTATGGGTCCAGTGTTAGTCTATGGGTCCAGTGTGAGTCTATGGGTTCCAGAGTGAGTCTATGGGTCCAGAGTGAGTCTATGGGTCCAGTGTTAGTCTATGGGTCCAGAGTGAGTCTATGGGTCCGGAGTTAATCTATGGGTCCAGTGTTAGTCTCTGGGTCCAGTGTGAGTCTATGGGTCCAGTGTGAGTCTATGGGTCCAGAGTGAGTCTATTGGTCCGGAGTGAGTCTATGGGTCCGGAGTGAGTCTATGGGTCCAGAGTGAGTCTATGGGTCCAGTGTTAGTCTATGGGTCCAGTGTTAGTCTATGGGTCCAGAGTGAGTCTATGGGTCCAGTGTGAGTCTATGGGTCCAGTGTGAGTCTATGGGTCCAGAGTGAGTCTATTGGTCCGGAGTGAGTCTATGGGTCCAGTGTTAGTCTATGGGTCCAGTGTTAGTCTATGGGTCCAGAGTGAGTCTATGGGTCCAGAGTGAGTCTATGGGTCCGGAGTTAATCTATGGGTCCAGTGTTAGTCTAAGGGTCCAGTGTGAGTCTATAGGTTCCAGAGTGAGTCTATGGGTCCAGAGTGAGTCTATGGGTCCAGAGTGAGTGTATGGGTCCAGAGTCAGTCTATGGGTCCAGAGTCAGTCTAGAGTCTACAGTAAACCAGTGAGGTCTCCTGATGGCATCGCTGCCATCTCCTTCCCGACAGGTGCGTCTGCTTCGTCTACAAGTCACGCGTCTGCCAACCCCAGCATCTTCCCTGCAGCGATGCCCGTGCAGCGATCACCGCCGCATTGAAGGCGAGAGAGGGGGGGGAGGGGGCGAGGGAGCGCGTGCACCACAACGCGGCACACCACGTCCGGTGTTCAACTATTTGAAGCTGATTTTTTGTTTCATTTTCTACCGGCTGTAAGGCCCCGCTGAGCTGGGACTCAGCTCTGTTCTTCATTCAGGAGCGAGCTGGCCACCACAAATGATCGCTCGGCTAAGCGGCTTGCCATCGCGTGGACATTTACAGCGGGAGCCAAATAACTCTGAACGCGTGACGTTGATTCGAAATGTGGAGGTTGAAAAACCGTCGGACCCGGGGAAAAATCCACGCGATCACGGAGTGGGCGACACGCAGACTCCAAATATAGAGCAGGCACCAGGGCCGGGATCAAACCCACGACCTCCTGCGTACCAGGCGAGGTAGTCAACATCTCCTAGCCACCGTGATGATGATGAGAGAGAGAGACACGCAAACTCCAAATATACAGCAGCAGCAGCAGGCGTCACGGTCGGGATCGAACCCACGACCTCCTGCGTACCACGCGAGGTAGTCAACAACTCCTAGCCACCACAGTGCCCTCACTGTAGCTCTCGCTGTGTGCTTTGGCTGCCAATGGCCACGTGCCACCGACTTGCAGTCCACACAGAGACTCGGAATAACATTCGGTGGGACATGAAGCTCGGGATATGACGCAAATTGTGACGACAATTATATATTTTGATTTAAAGCTTTCGTGACTGCAGTGATTCATATTGTTGGTTCTTTCGGCAAAGTCACGTTGAAGGGAAACAATAAAATAATAAAATATATATAAAACAATAAAATTCTCACACGTATATTATTTTATTGTTTCCCTTCAACGTGACTTTACCGAAAGAAACAAGAATATGACAATTATATAATTATGTACAATTCAAAAATCACATGATTATATAATGATATTATATAATGATATAATGATCTGATAATATAACAGCATAATCATATAATGATTTAATTATGACGATAATTAATTACACGACGATAATTATGACTACGACGATGATGGTGATGATGATGATGGCGGCGGTGGTGGCGGTGGTGGTGGTGGTGATGATGGGAAACAGAATTTCACCGGCTGATGTTCATCACAACTGCTGGACATCTGTCAAAAAAACTTAAAAGAGCCTCGTAGCTCGTCAGATTTCCCTCCGACGTAAAACGAAATTGTTCTCAATTCCTAATCTGACATCGCCGCTACCTCCCGTTTCAGAGAGGGATTGAAGACCGCTACCTGAACTTGAAGCAGAGCATGCAGGTAACGGTGTAGTGGCAAAGGCTACCCGTGTACCCCTCCTCCGCCCGCCTCCCCAGCTCAAGCGTTTTAAAACGCACCGCGCCAGGCACTCGTTTAAGGCTGAGTCGACCCCAGGGAGAGGACCCAGCGCCGGTTCTCATTATCATCACCGACATTAATCGGCCGTGGTCCGGAGTCGAACTGGGGGGGGGGGATCGTAGCCGGGTTCGAAGGGCGGTGCGCTAACCGCCGCTCTCTCGCGACTCACCGTACACGTATCACACAAAGGTCCCCCGTGTAACCTTGCCACACCTGTTGGGGCAAGTGCTGTTAGCGAGCAGCACCTGTGAAGGCCGACACGGCACACACGAGGGGCTGGGTGGCCAGCACCACGCCCGGCCGCCTTTGTCTCCCCCAGCGGCGATGTTGACTACACACCACACCGGGTATTCATTTGAGGCTGGGTCGGCCTAAGGGAGGCCCAGGACCGGTTCAGATAATCGTCGCTGGTCTTGGCCGTGCGTGGGAATCGAACTCGGCTCGCGGGGTTCGTAGCGCGGCGCCACCGCTCCCCGCACGCACACACAAAGACAAAGATCCCCCACGTAGCCTTCACAGACTGTAGGGGCAAGTGCTGTTAGCGAGCACCTATGCACGCACACACGCACACACGCACACACGCGCATGTGTCACCACAAGCGATCTGAGAAATGACGCTCGGGATTTTTTAAACATGTATTTTTCATTTTCCTTTAACGAAAGAATGTGGCGGAGGACCTGGTACGGATGCTGACCCTGGCGAAGGAGGTGGTGGGTGCAGTCCGCTCGCTCAGCGAGAAGTACAGTGAGGTGTTTGCCAGGTACGGCCTCCCCCGTCTCCCTTACCGGACACGCCACAGTACACAGACTCCTCACACAGAGACTCACAGACTCGTCACATAGAGACCCACACAGAGACCCACAGACTCCTCACACAGAGACTCACAGACTCGTCACATAGAGACCCACATAGAGACCCACAGACTCCTCACACAGAGACCCACAGACTCCTCACACAGAGACCCACATAGAGACCCACAGACTCCTCACACAGAGACCCACAGACTCCTCACACAGAGACCCACAGACTCCTCACACAGAGACTCACAGACTCGTCACATAGCGACCCACATAGAGACCCACAGACTCCTCACACAGAGACTCACAGACTCGTCACATAGAGACCCACATAGAGACCCACAGACTCCTTACACAGAGACCCACTGACTCCTCACACAGAGACCCACAGACTCCTCACATAGAGACCCACATAGAGACCCACAGACTCCTCACACAGAGACCCACAGACTCGTCACATAGCGACCCACATAGAGACCCACAGACTCCTCACACAGAGACCCACAGACTCCTCACACAGAGACCCACAGACTCCTCACACAGAGACTCACAGACTCGTCACATAGCGACCCACATAGAGACCCACAGACTCCTCACACAGAGACCCACAGACTCCTCACACAGAGACCCACAGACTCCTCACATAGAGACCCACAGACTCCTTACACCAAGACCCACAGAATCCTCACATAGAGACCCACATAGAGACCCACAGACTCCTCACACAGAGACCCACAGACTCCTCACACAGAGACCCACAGACTCCTCACACAGAGACCCACAGAATCCTCACATAGAGACCCACATAGAGACCCACAGACTCCTCACACAGAGACCCACAGACTCCTCAGACAGAGACCCACAGACTCCTCACACAGAGACCCACATAGAGACCCACAGACTCCTCACACAGAGACCCACAGACTCCTCACACAGAGACCCACAGACTCACCACACAGAGACCCACAGACTCACCACACAGAGACCCACAGACTCACCACACAGAGACCCACAGACTCACCACAGAGACCCACAGACTCGGCACACAGAGACCCACAGACTCAGCACACAGAGACCCACAGACTCAGCACACAGAGACCCACAGACTCCTCACACAGAGACCCACAGACTCCTCACACAGAGACCCCGGTCCTGGGCCTCCCCTAGGTCGACTCAGCCTCCAAATGAGTACCTGTTGCGGTGTCTAGAAAACATCGCCGCCTGCTGGGGAGACAAAGGCGGCTGGGCGTGGTGCTGGCCACCCACCCCCTCGTGTACCGTGCCGGCCTTCATAGGCTCTGTTCGCTATCAGCACTTGCCCCTACAGTCTGTTAAGGCTACACGGGGGATCTTTGTCACTTGCAGCACGTGCGATGTCCCGCTGGCTCTCATCATGCACCAGCAAGCCGGTGACCTGGTGAGTGCCCCCCACCCATGCCCCCCCCCACCCCTGCCCCCCCACCCCTATGTGAGTCTGTGGGTCTCTATGCGTGTCTGTGGGTCTCTATGCAAGTCTGTGGGTTTCTATGCATGCTGTGGGTCTCTATGTGAGTCTATGGATCTGTATGTCAGTATGTGGTGCTCTATGTGAGTCTGTGGGTCTGTATGTCAGTATGTGAGTCTGAGTCTGTGTGTCTCTATGCGAGGCTGTGGGTCTCTATGCAAGTCTGTGGGTCTCTATGCATGCTGTGGGTCTCTATGTGGGTCTATATGTCAGTATGTGGGTCACTTTGCGAGTCTGTGGATCTCTATGCGAGACTGTGTGTCTCTATGCGAGTCGGTGGGTCACTTTGCGAGTCTGTGGGTTACTATGCGAGTCTATGGGTCTCTATGTGAGCCTGTGTGTCTCTATGCGAGTCTGTGGGTCTCTATGCGAGTCTGTGGGTCTCTATGCGAGTCTGTGTGTCTCTACACGAGTCTGTGGGTCTCTACGTGAGTCTGTGGGTCTCTATGTGAGTCTGTGGGTCTCTATGTGTGTCTGTGGGTCTCTATGTCAGTATGTGGGTCTCTATGAGAGTCTGTGGGTCTCTGTGCGAGTCTATGGGTCACTTTGCGAGTCTGTGGATCTCTATGCGAGTCTGTGTGTCTCTATGCGAGTTTGTGTGTCTCTACGCGAGTCTGTGTGTCTCTATGCGAGTCTATGGGTCACTATGTGAGTCTGCATCTCTATGTGAGTCTGTGGGTCTCTGTGTGAGTCTGTGGGTCTCTATGCGAGCCTGTGCATCTCTATGTGTGTCTGTGGGTCTCTATGTGAGTCTATGGGTCTCTATACGAGTATGTGTGTCTCTATGCGAGTATGTGTGTCTCTATGCGAGTCTGTGGGTCTCAATGTGTATCTGTGGATCTCTGTGCGAGTCTGTGGATCTCTATGCAAGTCTATGGGATCTCTCCTCCCCCCTGGCATCGTCCCCTGGCAGCTTGGCCCCGATGTGCGCGCCACGATGCGTGGTGTGAGCGACGCCCTGGGCACCGGCGGCACCACCGGCGGCACCGCTCCGAGCGCTCACACGGCCGAGACGACGCTGCGTCTCTACCTCGTCGTGCTCACGCTGCGCACCGACACGGAGCGGCTGCGCGGAGCGTGAGCGGCACACCGCGGTGCTCCATCAATCTCGCGGCCGTCCGTCCGTCCGTCCGTCCGTCCGTCCGTCCGTCCGTTCGTTCGTTCGTCTGCCATCATTGTTCGTGTGTCCTAGCATCTGCTCATCTGTCTGTCTGTCTGTTCGCCTGTCTCGTCATCTGCCTGTTCATCCATCCATCGGTCTGTCTGATCGTCCGTCTGTCCATCCGCCAGTGTGTCTACCTGCTTCGCTGTTTCTCAGTCCATCCATTCGTGCGTCCCACTGCCGCCCCACTTCACCACGCGACCTTTCCAGTGCCGCCACCCCCCCACCACGTGATCTTCCCAGTGGCACCACCCCTCACGTGACCTTCCCAGTGCCGCCACCCCCCCCACCACGTGATCTTCCCAGTGGCACCACCCCTCACGTGACCTTCCCAGTCCCACCACCCCCCCTACCACGTGACCTTCCCAGTGCCGCCACCCCCCCACCACGTGACCTTCCTAGCGCCGCCACCCCCCCACGTGACAATCCTAGTCCCGCCACCCCCCCCCCCACCACGTGACCTTCCCAGCGCCGCCAACCCCCCCCCTCCCCCGCCGCTCACACTTTGCCGGTGCCACCGTGCGTGCAGGGGAGCGCCGGCGGCGGTCGAGGTGGCGGGCCCCTCGGCGGCGCCGGGCGCCCTCGACGCGCTGCACGAGTGGTTCTCGGGCGTCTTCTGGAGCTGGTTCCACGTCATGGGAAGCAAAGTGTCCTCCGTGATGGACCAGGCGGTGGAGGCCGACACGGTGAGAGCGGCGGGCCCGCACCACCCCCCACCCCCCGCCAACCCTGCCCCCATGCTACGTTCGGGAAAAAAAAAGTTTTGCTGGCTTGCTGGAGGGAGGGATGCAAGGCCCGAAGGACGTGTGGATTTCGAGTGTATATATATCACTAGCAGGCCTCGAGAGGCCCACTCACACTGAGCAGGCAGAGCAGACACAGCCACCACTGGCAGACACAGACGAAAACTAGAACTGTACAGGGACTCCTCTACTTACGAATGTTCGACTTACAGACATTAAAAGATACGAACAAAGCTGTCCATATGTAGAGTTGCCTGTTTTTCAAGAAAGTAGAGAGGAATACGAGCACCAAAGGGAATTAGCATCTGCGTACATCTGTAGAACGTGAAGAACCAGCCGCATCTACATCTGCAGAACGTGAAGAACCAGTGGCATCTAAATCTGCAGAACGTGAAGAACCAGTGGTATCTACATCTGCAGAGCGTGAAGAATCAGTGGCATCTACATCTGCAGAACGTGAAGAACCAGTGGCATCTACATCTGCAGAACGTGAAGAATCAGTGGCATCTACATCTGCAGAACGTGAAGAACCAGTAGCATCTACATCTGCAGAACATGAAGAACCAGTGGCATCTACATCTGCAGGACGTGAAGAACCATTGGCATCTACATCTACAGAACGTGAAGAACCAGTGGCATCTACATCTACAGAACGTGAAGAACCAGTGGCATCTACATCTGCAGAACGTGAAGAACCAGCCGCATCTACATCTGCAGAACGTAAAGAACCAGTGGCATCTACATCTGCAGAACGTGAAGAATCAGTGGCATCTACATCTGCAGAACGTGAAGAACCAGTGGCATCTACATCTGCAGAACGTGAAGAACCAGTGGCATCTACATCTGCAGAACATGAAGAACCAGTGGCATCTACATCTGCAGGACGTGACGAACCATTGGCATCTACATCTGCAGGACGTGAAGAACCATTGGCATCTACATCTACAGAACGTGAAGAACCAGTGGCATCTACATCTGCAGAACGTGAAAAACCAGTGGCATCTACATTTGCAGGACGTGAAGAACCATTGGCATCTACATTTGCAGAACGTGAAGAACCAGCCGCATCTACATCTGCAGAACGTGAAGAACCAGTGGTATCTATATCTGCAGAATGTGAAGAACCAGTGGTATCTACATCTGCAGAGCGTGAAGAACCAGTGGTATCTATATCTGCAGAATGTGAAGAACCAGTGGTATCTACATCTGCAGAGCGTGAAGAATCAGTGGCATCTACATCTGCAGAACGTGAAGAACCAGTGGCATCTACATCTGCAGAACGTGAAGAACCAGTGGCATCTACATCTGCAGAACGTGAAGAATCAGTGGCATCTACATCTGCAGAACGTGAAGAACCAGTGGCATCTACATCTGCAGAACATGAAGAACCAGTGGCATCTACATCTGCAGGACGTGAAGAACCATTGGCATTTACATCTACAGAACGTGAAGAACCAGTGGCATCTACATCTACAGAACGTGAAGAACCAGTGGCATCTACATCTGCAGAACGTGAAGAACCAGCCGCATCTACATATGCAGAAGGTGAAGAACCAGTGGCATCTACATCTGCAGAACATGAAGAACCAGTGGCATCTACATTTGCAGGACGTGAAGAACCATTGGCATCTACATCTGCAGGACGTGAAGAACCATTGGCATCTACATCTACAGAACGTGAAGAACCAGTGGCATCTACATCTGCAGAACGTGAAGAACCATTGGCATCTACATCTGCAGAACGTGAAGAACCAGTGGCATCTACATCTGCAGAACGTGAAGAACCAGTGGCATCTACATCTGCTGAACGTGAAGAACCATTGGCATCTACATAACATGAAGAACCAGTGGCATCTACATCTGCAGAACGTGAAGAATCAGCGGCATCTACATCTGCAGAACGTGAAGAATCAGCGGCATCTACATCTGCAGAACGTGAAGAACCAAGTGGCATCTACATCTGCAGAACGTGAAGAACCAGTGGCATCTACAGAACGTGAAGAACCAGTGGCATCTACATCAGCAGAACGTGAAGAACCATTGGCATTCACAGGAGATTATACAACTTTTAAAGCAATTCACCGTGTTTAGTGTATGCACCGTACAACATCGTTGTGATCGACGGGACTAAAGTTGGACTTTGCGAACTAATCGACCGCCTGGCCATCACAAATGACCGGCTGGCCATCACAAATGATAGCGCAACCAAGTTGGCTTCGCATCATCATCATCACGTGCAAATGTGGAGCAGCAGCCAAATAACTCAAAACGCTTCACATTGATTCTAAATGTGGAGGGAAAAACGGTGGAGAAAAACTCACACGACCACGGGGAGAGAGAGAGACCGCTCAAACTCCAACTATGCAGCAGCAGGCATTGTCAGGGTCGGGATCGAACCCACGACCTCCTGCCTACCAGGCGAGGTAATTAACATCTCCTACCCACCGTGATGATGAGAGAGAGAGACACGCAAACTCCAAATATACAGCAGGCGTCGTCAGGGTCGGGATCGAACCCACGACCTCCTGCACACCAGGCGAGGTAGTTAACATCTAGCCACCGTGTTGATGATGAAAGAGAGACACGCAGATTCCAAATATACAGTAGGTGTCGTCAGGGTCGGGATCGAACCCACGTCCTCCTGCAGACCAAGCGAGGTAGTTAACATCTCCTAGCCACCACGGCGCCCGGACACGCCACGTGACACAGCGGCCTCGCCCCACGGCCTCCGCGGACTCATCGTCGTCTCTCCTCCCCCCCCTCTGCAGCTGACGCCGGAGATGGCCGGTGCCAAGCACAGCAGCTCGGCCGTCGACTCGGCCAAGTGCTTCCAGGACTACTGCGAGCTGTGGCAGCAGCTGCGCTGGCCCCATCCCACCAAGACGCAGTCCAAGATCGTGGACGTGAGTTGGAACGGTCTGCCGCATCGCCGCGCTCCCGGGACGCCTCTCCCATCCCGATGTGAGGAGGCCACCGGAGCTGCGCGCTTTTAAATCATCTTGATTGGCAAAACTCTAGACACACACAGAGACCCATAGACTCACACAGAGACACATAGACTCACACAGAGACACATAGACTCACACAGAGACCTATAGACTCACACAGAGACCTATAGACACAGAGACACATAGACTCACACAGAGACGCATAGACTCACACAGAGACCCAGAGACTCACACAGAGACCCATAAACTCAGAGACCCATAGACTCACACAGAGACCCATAGACTCACACAGAGACCCATAAACTCAAACAGAGACCCATAGACTCGTACAGAAACCCATAGACTCACAGAGAGACCCATAGACTCGCACAGAGACCCATAGACTCACACACAGACCCATAGACTCACACACAGACCAATAGACTCACACAGAGACCCATAGACTCACACAGAGACCCATAGACTCACACAGAGACACATAGACTCACAGAGAGACCCATAGACTCGCACAGAGACCCATAGACTCACACAGAGACACATAGACTCACACAGAGACCCATAGACTCACACAGAGACCCATAGACTCACACAGAGACCCATAGACTCACACAGAGACACATAGACTCACAGAGAGACCCATAGACTCACACAGAGACCCGTAGACTCACACAGAGACCCGTAGACTCACACAGAGACCCATAGACTCACACAGAGACCCATAGACTCACACAGAGACCCATAGACTCACACAGATACCCATAGTCTGTTGTCCTTCCTCCGCACCTCCAATTAGCACGGTTGGCTGCGTACGGTGCGAAAGACGTTCAACATACTGTACACCCAACATGCGTGCAACATACAAACAACATACATGAACACATCGCTGCTCCAAGTGGAGCAGCGGGGCAGTGGGTAGCGCCGCGCCACGCTCCGAACCCGGCTGCGAACCCGAGTTCGAGTCCCGCTCATGGCCACCACGGACACCGGTGATGACTAACTGCACCGGTCCTGGGTCTGTGTGCCTGCATGCACGTTGAACTCCTTTCGCGCCGTACGTAGCCAACCGTGCTTGATTCGGGAGGTGCGGCAGGGGAAGGACAACGCGAACCAAAACGCAACCGAGAGCTGTTCCGGAAGAAACGAGTTTGTCAGGCGGGACGATGACGAGCGAAAATTTGCGCAGCTCCCAGTGGTTTCCCAACAGCGGGAGGGAGGAGCGTTCCAGACGGCCGCGGAAGGCGCACCCGAAAGCGACGACGATGCGGTCACCCCCGCCGGCTTTGTTCACCGCCGCCGCCGCGAGAACGACGACCGAGGCCGTCGATTCGAACGCTCCGTGACGCGATCGGCCAAAGCGGGGGGGGGGGGGGGGGTGGGGGGGGGGGTGGGGGGGGGTGGGGGGGGTGGGGGGGGTGGGGGTCACAACTCAACCCCCCTGACCACCGGCCCGGCGCTCTCCCTTCGCCGGCAGGGCATCAGCAAGTCGGCCATCGGCTACGCCCAGCTGGTGTCGCGGAAGCTGGCCGGCCTCGGCTGCCCGGAGGCGGCGGCGGTTGCGGCCGGCGGCGGCGGCGGCGGCGGCGGCGGCGGCGGCCTGCGGCGACGCTCCATCATGGCCGGGCCGGTCGCCCTGGCCTTGACGGCAGAGGCGGTGACCACGCTCGCCCGGCAGGTGGGGGGGTGGGGGGGGTGGGGGGGGAGAGGTGGGGAGGGGGGAGGTGGGGGGGGGAAGGTTGGGGAGGGGGGAGGTGGGGGGGGGGAGAGTTGGTGGAGAGAGGTGGGGGGTGAGGTGGGGAGGGCGAGAGTTGGGGGGGGAGAGTTGGGGATTCGTGCTCGTGACCAACACCGATTCCCTGTAGCGGTCCTGGGCCCTCCCCTAGGTCGATTCACTTTCAAATGAGTGCCTGGTGCGGTGCGTGAAACATCGCCACTGGGGAGACAAAGGCGGCCGGGCGCGGTTGCTGGGCCACCCGCCCCCCCCCCTCTCGCGTGCCGCGCCGGCCTTCACAGGCGCTGCTGCTCGCCAACGGCACTTGCCCCAACAGTCTGTTACAGGCTAGGTACCGGGGGGGATCTTCGTGTGTGTGTGTGTGCAGTACTGCATCGGCGTGAACAACGTGGAGCTGGTGTGGGCCTCGCTGTCGGCGCTGCCCGAGCAGTGGTCGTGGTCGGGGCTGAGCGAGGCCGAGGTGGAGACGGCCCGGCGGATGCTCCGCGCGCAGCTCCACGACACGGAGGGCCGCCTCGACGGCCCCATCGGGGACGTCCTGCGCCGCCTGCGTGAGATGGTGAGCTCCCCGCGCCCTCGCCCCGGGCCCTCGCCCCGCGCCCTCGCCCCGGGCCCTCGCCCCGGGCCCTCGCCCCGGGCCCTCGACGGCGGCGGCGGCGGCGCCACCGTGGGGGGGGGGCCTGGAGTGGGGCCGCCGGGGGGAGGGGGGGACGGAGTGGGGGGCGCAGTGGGTGGGGGGGGGGACGGAGTAGGGCCACAGTAGGGCCGCAGTAGGGTCACAGTAGCACCACAGTAGGGTCACAGTAAGGACAGAGTAGGGCCACAGTAGGGCCAAGGTAGAGCCACAGTAACACCACAGTAGGGCCACAGTAGGGCCACAGTAGGGCCACAGTAGGGCCAAGGTAGGGCCACAGTAGGGTCACAGTAGGGCCACAGTAAGGCCAAGGTAGGGCCGCAGTAGCACCACAGTAGGGCCAAGGTAGGGCCAAGGTAGGGCCACAGTAGGACCACAGTAGGGCCACAGTAGGGCCAAGGTAGGGTCACAGTAGGGTCACAGTAGGGCCACAGTAGGGCCAAGGAAGGGCCACAGTAGGGCCAAGGTAGGGCCACAGTAGGGTCACAGTAGCACCACAGTAGGGCCAAGGTAGGGCCACAGTAGGACCACAGTAGGGCCACAGTAGGGCCAAGGTAGGGCCACAGTAGGACCACAGTAGCACCACAGTAGGGCAAAGGTAGGGCCACAGTAGGACCACAGTAGGGCCACAGTAGGGCAAAGATAGGGCCACAATAGGGCCACAGTAGGACCACAGTAGGGCCACAGTAGGGCCAAGGTAGGGCCACAGTAGGACCACAGTAGCACCACAGTAGGTCCAAGGTAGGGCCACAGTAGGACCACAGTAGGGCCACAGTAGGGCAAAGGTAGGGCCACAGTAGGGCCACAGTAGGGCCACAGTAGGTCCAAGGTAGGGCCACAGTAGGGCCACAGTAGGGCCACAGTAGGGCCAAGGTAGGGCCACAGTAGGGCCACAGTAGCACCACAGTAGGGCCAAGGTAGGGCCACAGTAGGGTCACAGTAGGGCCACAGTAGGGCCAAGGTAGGGCCACAGTAGGACCACAGTAGGGCCACAGTAGGGCAAAGGTAGGGCCACAGTAGGGCCACAGTAGGGCCACAGTAGGGCCAAGGTAGGGCCACAGTAGGGCCACAGTAGCACCACAGTAGGGCCAAGGTAGGGCCACAGTAGGGCCACAGTAGGGCCACAGAAGTTTGTATGTTTCCCCCCTGTTCTGTATGGGTTTTCTCCGGGTTTTCCATTTTCCTCCCACAGCTAAACAACCCCCCCCCCCCCCCCCATACATTGTAAACTCAGATTGTCAATGTTGTGGTTTGGCTCTCCAACACACCGGTGTGCTGTACTACTATACTACATGATACACTACACTATACTACTATACCACTACACTACTATACACTACACTACTATACACTACACTACTATACACTACACTACTATACACTACGCTATACACTACACTATACACTACACTATACACTACACTATACACTACACTACTATACACTACACTACTATACACTACACTACTATACACTACACTACTATACACTACACTATGCTACACTATACACTACACTATACACTACACTATACACTACACTATACACTACACTATACACTACACTACTATACACTACTATACACTACACTACTATACACTACACTACTATACACTACACTACTATTCACTACACTATACACTACACTACTATACACTACACTACTAAACACTACACTATACACTACACTATACACTACACTATACACTACTATACACTATACACTACACTACTATACACTACACTACTATACACTACACTATACACTACACTATACACTACACTATACACTACACTATACACTACACTATACACTACACTATACACTACACTATACACTAGTGCTGTACTAGTGACGAATTGGCCATGTTCTGTTTACGTGACAACCCTTACTAGTTGGCTGTGTCGGCTGGTGGCGGGTTTTAACGTCACAACATTTATACATTTACACGATCTAACCCCAAAAAACCCTCCATTATGGATGATATTGGTCGCGAAAGCCTACCGCGTGTTAAACTGAACACGCATCAGGGTCGGGATCGAACCTGCGACCTCCTGTACACCAGGCGAGGTAGTCAACATCTCCTAGCCACCGTGATGATGATGAGAGAGAGAGACACGCAAACTCCAAATATACAGCAGCAGCAGGCGTCAGGGTCGGGATCGAACCCACGACCTCCTTTATACCAGGCGAGGTAGTCAACATCTCATAGCCACCGTGATGATGATGAGAGAGAGACATGCAAACTCCAAATATACAGCAGGCGTCAGGGTCGGGATCGAACCCGCGACCTCCCGTATACCAGGCGAGGTGGTCAACATCTCCTAGCCACTGTGATGATGATGAGAGAGAGAGACGCAAACTCCAAATATACAGCAGTAGGCATCAGGGTCGGGGTCGAACCCGCGACCTCCCGTATACCAGGCGAGGTAGTTAAATTCTCCTAGCCACCGTGGTGCCCCCAAAGCCTACTGGACCGTCCTCGGCTGCGATCAGCGTCCTAACTCAACCTTCTCATCCCACAGATCCTGGCAGTCACCCGGACAAACCTGCTGGCCGTGGGCGCTAGCAACATCTCCTCCAGCCACCAGGTAGGCGACCCTGCAGGTAGGCGAGCCTGCAGGTAGGTGCACCAGCAGGTAGGCGAGCCTGTAGGTAGGTGCACTGGCAGGTAGGTGAGCCTGTAGGTAGGTGCACTGGCAGGTAGGTGAGCCTGCAGGTAGGTGAGCCTGCAGGTAGGTGCACCAGCAGGTAGGTGCACCAGCAGTTAGGTGCACCAGCAGGTAGGTGCACCAGCAGGTAGGTGCACCAGCAGGTAGGTGCACCAGCAGGTAGGTGCACCGGCAGGTAGGTGAGTCAGCAGGTAGATGCACTGGCAGGTAGGCGAGCCTGCAGGTAGGTGCACCAGCAGGTAGGTGCACCGGCAGGTAGGTGCACCAGCAGGTAGGTGCACCAGCAGGTAGGTGCACCAGCAGGTAGGCGAGCCTGTAGGTAGGTGCACTGGCAGGTAGGTGAGCCTGCAGGTAGGTGAGCCTGCAGGTAGGTGCACCAGCAGGTAGGTGCACCAGCAGTTAGGTGCACCAGCAGGTAGGTGCACCGGCAGGTAGGTGAGTCAGCAGGTAGATGCACTGGCAGGTAGGCGAGCCTGCAGGTAGGTGCACCAGCAGGTAGGTGCACCGGCAGGTAGGTGCACCAGCAGGTAGGCGAGCCTGCAGGTAGGTGCACCAGCAGGTAGGTGAGTCAGCAGGTAGGCGAGTCAGCAGGTAGGTGCACCAGAAGGTAAGTGAGTCAGCAGGTAGGTGAGTCAGCAGGTAGGTGAGTCAGCAGGTAGGTGAGTCAGCAGGTAGGTGCACCAGAAGGTAGGTGAGTCAGCAGGTAGGTGAGTCAGCAGGTAGGTGAGTCAGCAGGTAGGTGAGTCAGCAGGTAGGTGCACCAGCAGGTAGGTGCACCAGCAGGTAGGTGAGCCTGCAGGTAGGTGAGCCTGCAGGTAGGTGCACCAGCAAGTAGGTGCACCGGCAGGTAGGTGCACCTGCAGGTAGGTGAGTCAGCAGGTAGGTGCACCGGCAGGTAGGTGCACCGGCAGGTAGGTGCACCGGCAGGTAGGTGAGTCAGCAGGTAGGTGAGCATGCAGGTAGGTGAGTCAGCAGGTAGGTGAGTCAGCAGGTAGGTGAGTCAGCAGGTAGGTGAGTCAGCAGGTAGGTGAGTCAGCAGGTAGGCGATCCGGCTGCCTGGCGGCTGTCCCCTGTCTCCCATCGCCCCACGTCTCCCGGTTTGTTCCCCGTGGGGGAGATCGATCGATGGGCGACAACAACGACAACAACAACAACGACAACAACGACAACGACAACAACGACAACGACAACAACGACAACAACAACAACAACTGTAACAACGACAACAACTGTAACGACGACAACAACTGTAACGACGACAACAACTGTAACGACGACAACAACGACAACAACTGTAACGACGACAACAACTGTAACAACGACAACAACTGTAACGACGACAACAACTGTAACGACGACAACCACTGTAACGACGACAACAACGACAACAACGACAACAACTGTAACGACGACAACAACTGTAACGACGACAACAACTGTAACAACGACAACAACGACAACAACGACAACAACTGTAACAACGACAACAACTGTAACGACGACAACAACTGTAACAACGACAACAACTGTAACGACGACAACAACTGTAACAACGAAAACAAAAATAATGACTCTTAACTCCCGTTTCCGGGACGTTTCGATATCCGTGCGGGAAATCGATTCCGCTCTGATCGACGGGACCGGCCACAGAATCGGAAGAAGAGAACAACTCGATAGCTCAACGAAAGCGGCTTATCCTAAAAATCACCATCATCATCATCATGACCATCATCACCATCGACGTGGAAATTTATAGCAGCAGCCAAACAACTCTAAACGCGTGACTGACGTCGATTCGAAATGCGGAGGTTGAATAACCGTGGGACCCGGAGAGAAATCCACACGACCACGGGGAGAGAGAGAGAGAGACAACGCCATCGTCAGGGTCGGGATCGAAGACACGACCTCCTGCATACTGGATAACATCTCACCACCGTGACACCCCGCAAACAGCGGTGGTGTAGCGGTTAGCGCTACACCACCACTGTGAACCCGGCGACCCGGGTTCGATTCCCGCTCACGGCCAACACCGGTGGTGACGATTCTCTGAACCGGTCCCGGGCCTCCGCGAGGTCGACTCAGCCTCAAATGAGTACCTGGTGCGGTGTGTAGTGAACATCGTCACTGGGGAGACAAAGGCGGCCGGGCGTGGTGCTGACCACCCACCCCCTCGTGATGCCGTGTCGGCCTTTATAGGCGCCGCTCGATTACTGCACTTGCCCCTACAGTCTGTTACAGGCTACACGGGGGACCTTTGTCTTTGTGTGTCGTTTCACAGGCCATCGAGTCTCTCTCGGACTTCCTCAACAAGACCATTCGTGTCCTCTTTGAGACGCTTAGCAACGATCGCTTCCAGAGGTGAACACACGTGGACCCCCCCCCCCACTCCCCCCCTCCACCACTCCGCCCCCCCAATACTCCCCCCTCCCCTACTCCCCCACTCCCCCCCTCCCCCCTCCACCACTCCCCCCTCCCCCACTCCCCCCCTCCCCCACTCCCCCCCTGCTCCACTCCCCCCCTCCCCCACTCCCCCACTCCCCCCCTCCCCCACTCCCCCACTCCCCCACTCCCCCCTCTCCCCCTCCCCCCCTCCTCCACTCCCCCCCTGCTCCACTCCCCCCTCCCCTACTCCCCCACTCCCCCCCTCCCCCACTCCCCCCTCCCCCACTCCCCCACTCCCCCCCTGCTCCACTCCCCCCTCCCCCCTCCCCCACTCCCCCCCTGTTCCACTCCCCCCCACCCCCTCCCCCACTCCCCCCCTGCTCCACTCCCTACTCCCCCACTCCCCCCTCCCCCACTCCCCCACTCCCCCACTCCCCCCCCTCCCCCACTCCCCCCTCCCCCCCCCTCCCCCCCCTCCCCCCTCCCCCACTCCCCCCCTGCTCCACTCCCCCCTCCCCCACTCCCCCCCTCCCCCACTCCCACCGCCCCCCCACCACCCTCCTTACAATTCAGATCGTGTCGTCGTGTAGCTGTGTGTGTGTGTGTGGAGCGCAGGCTGTTGGTGTAGCTGCGTGTGTGTGTGTAGCACAGGCTGTTGGTGTAGCTGCGTGTGTGTGTGTAGCGCAGGCTGTTGGAGGAGCTGCGTGTGTGACGAGTGTGTGTGTGGGACGTGTGTGTGTGTGTAGCGCAGGCTGTTGGAGGAGCTGTGTGTGTGTAGCGCAGGCTGTTGGAGGAGCTGTGTGTGTGTGTGTAGCGCAGGCTGTTGGAGGAGCTGTGTGTGTGTGTGTGTAGCGCAGGCTGTTGGAGGAGCTGTGTGTGTGTGTGGAGCGCAGGCTGTTGGAGGAGCTGTGTGTGTGTGTGTGGAGCGCAGGCTGTTGGAGGAGCTGCGTGTGTGTGTGGAGCGCAGGCTGTTGGAGGAGCTGCGTGTGTGCGTGTAGCGCAGGCTGTTGGAGGAGCTGCGTGTGTGTGTGTAGCGCAGGCTGTTGGAGGAGCTGCGTGTGTGACGAGTGTGTCTGTGTGTGTGTAGCGCAGGCTGTTGGAGGAGCTGCGTGTGTGTGTGTGTGTGTAGCGCAGGCTGTTGGAGGAGCTGTGTGTGTGTGTGTAGCGCAGGCTGTTGGAGGAGCTGCGTGTGTGTGTGTAGCGCAGGCTGTTGGAGGAGCTGCGTGTGTGTGTGTAGTGCAGGCTGTTGGAGGAGCTGTGTGTGTGTGTAGCGCAGGCTGTTGGAGGAGCTGCGTGTGTGTGTGTAGCGCAGGCTGTTGGAGGAGCTGCGTGTGTGATGAGTGTGTGTGTGTGTGTAGCGCAGGCTGTTGGAGGAGCTGTGTGTGTGTGTGTAGTGCAGGCTGTTGGAGGAGCTGCGTGTGTGTGTGTAGCGCAGGCTGTTGGAGGAGCTGCGTGTGTGTGTGTAGTGCAGGCTGTTGGAGGAGCTGTGTGTGTGTGTAGCGCAGGCTGTTGGAGGAGCTGCGTGTGTGTGTGTACCGCAGGCTGTTGGAGGAGCTGCGTGTGACGAGTGCGTGTGCGTGTGTGGAGCGCAGGCTGTTGGAGGAGCTGTGGACGAGCACGGTGCTGATGCTCGTGGAGATAGTTTCCGAGAAGAAGCCACGCTCCATCGACTTCTACTCCAGAATGGACCTGGCCGCACAGGTGAGACACAGCCACAGGTGAGACACAGCCACAGGTGAGACACAAGCACAGGTGAGACACAGGTGAGACAGGTGAGACACAGGCACAGGTGAGACACAGCCACAGGTGAGACACAGCCACAGGTGAGACACAGGTGAGACACAGGCACAGGTGAGACACAGGTGAGATACAGGCACAGGTGAGACACAGGCACCGGTGAGATACAGGCACAGGTGAGACACAGGTGAGACACAGGCACAGGTGAGACACAGGCACAGGTGAGACACAGGTGAGACACAGGCACAGGTGAGACACAGGTGAGACACAGGCAAAGATCCCCCAGGTAGTCGGCGCAGGCTCTTCAGAGATGCTGAGCACAGCCCTAAATTCCCCACAACCTGTGCTGGATGATCATCATAGTAAAAGTAGTAGTAGTAGCTACAGTACATGTGTAGTAGCTACATAAGTAGTAGCTACATGTGTAGTAGCTACAGTACATGCGTAGTAGCTACATAAGTAGTAGCTACACGTGTAGTCGCTACGGGCCCCGTACTTTCAAGCTATCAATTCCGGTTCAGTGATTCTGCACTTGCTCTATTACCGTCGGGCTCGAACCAACGACCTCCCGTATACCAGGCGAGATGGTCAACATTTCGCCAATGTCGCACCTGTGAAATGCAACGCCATCTGGGGCATGGTTAATAAAAAAAACGACCTCCTCCTCGCCCGAGGATGCTCAAGAAATCGTTAAGATGGCTCCGGTCAGAGGGGTGTGTGGTTTGTGTGTGTGTGGTGTGTGTGTGTGTGCGTGGTGTGTGTGTGTGTGCGTGGTGTGTGTGTGTGCGTGGTGTGTGTGTGTGTGCGTGGTGTGTGTCTGTGTGTGTGTGTGCGTGGGGAGCCGTAGTGTAGCAGGTTAGCGCTACGCTGCGCTACGAACCCGGCGACCCGAGTTCGATTCCCGCTCACGGCAAATACCCACTGACGATTATCTCAATCGGTCCTGGGCCTCCCCTATGTCGACTCAGCCTCAAAATTAGTAACCTGGTGCGGTGTGTAGTAAACATCACCGCTAGGGAGACAAAGGCGTCCGGGCGTGGTGCTGGCCACCCACCTCCTCGTGTGCCGTGCCGGCCTTCATAGGGTGCTTCTCGTTAACAGCACTTGCCCCAACAGTCTCTTGAGGCTATACGGGGGATCTTTATCTTTGTCTTGTCTGGTGTGTGTGTGTGGTGTGTGCCCTGTGTGTGGTGCATCAGGCGCTGTTGGATATTTACAATCCCAGCGATCGGGGCCATGCTCCTGTCTCCCTGGAGCTCAAGGAGTTTGTGGTCAGTCGAACTTTCACACCACCATCAGCATCAGCAGGAACATCAGCCAATCATAGACTCATACACACATCATCCTCAGCAGCAGCACCTCCGATTAGCACGGTTGGATACGTACGGTGTGAAAGAAGTTCAACATACATACAGCAGCATCATCATCAGACAATCATAAATACACACACACCATCATCATTATCAGCAACATCATCATCAGACAATCATAAATACACACACACCATCATCATCATCAACAAGATCATCATCAGCCAATCATATATACACACACATCATCATCATCAGCAACATCATCATCAGCCAATCATAAATACACACACACACCATCATCATCAGCAACAACATCATCAGCCAATCATAAATACACACACACCATCATCAGCAACAACATCATCAGCCAATCATAAATACACACACACCATCATCAGCAACAACATGAACAGAGAGAGACAGAATAACAACAACAAAATCCAGAAAAAACGCATGACAAAAATGTTATAAATTGATTGCATTTTAATGAGGGAAATAAGTATTTGACCCCCTCTCAATCAGAAAGATTTCTGGCTCCCAGATGTCTTTTATACAGGTAACGAGCTGAGATTAGGAGCACACTCTTTAAGGGAATGCTCCTAATCTCAGCTTGTTATCTGTATAAAAGACACCTGTCCACAGAAACAATAAATCAATCAGATTCCAAACTCTCCACCATGGCCAAGACCAAAGAGCTCTCCAAGGATGTCAGGGACAAGATTGTAGACCTACACAAGGCTGGAATGGGCTACAAGACCATTGCCAAGCAGCTTGGTGAGAAGGTGACAACAGTTGGTGCGATTATTCGCAAATGGAAGAAACACAAAAGAACTGTCAATCTTCCTCGACCTGGGGCTCCGTGCTAGATCTCACCACGTGGAGTTGCAATGATCATGAGAACGGTGAGGAATCAGTCCAGAACTACACAGTAGGATATTGTCAATGATCTCAAGGCAGCTGGGACCATATTCACCAAGAAAACAATTGGTAACACACTACGCTGTGAAGGACTGAAATCTTGCAGCGCCCGCAAGGTCCCCCTGCTCAAGAAAGCACATATACATGCCCGTCTGAAGTTTGCCAATGCACATCTGAATGATTCAGAGGACAACTGGGTGAAAGTGTTGTGGTCAGATGAGACCAAAATGGTGCTCTTAGGCATCAACTCAACTCGTCGTGTTTGGAGGAGGAGGAATGCTACCCATGACCCCAAGAACACCATCCCCACCGTCAAACATGGAGGTGGAAACATGCTTTGGGGGTGTTTTTCTGCTAAGGGGACAGGACAACTTCACCACATCAAAGGGACGATGGACGGGGCCATGTACCGTCAAATCTTGGGTGAGAACCTCCTTCCCTCAGCCAGGGTATTGAAAATGGGTCGTGGATGGGTATTCCAGCATGACAATGACCCAAAACACACGGCCAAGGCAACAAAGGAGTGGCACAAGAAGAAGCACATTAAGGTCCTGGAGTGGCTTAGCCAGTCTCCAGACCTTAATCCCATAGAAAATCTGTGGAGGGAGCTGAAGGTTCGAGATGCCAAACGTCAGCCTCGAAACCTTAATGACTTGGAGAAGATCTGCAAAGAGGAGTGGGACAAAATCCCTCCTTAGATGTGTGCAAACCTGGTGGCCAACTACAAGAAACGTCTGACCTCTGTGATTGCCAACAAGGGTTTTGCCACCAAGTACTAAGTCTTGTTTTGCAGAGGGGTCAAATACTTATTACCCTCATTAAAATGTAAATAAATTTATAACATTTTTGACATGCGTTTTTCTGGATTTTTTTGTTATTCTGTCTCTCACTGTTCAAATAAACCTACCATTAAAATTATAGACTGATCATTTCTTTGTCAGTGGGCAAACGTACAAAATCAGCAGGGGATCAAATACTTTTTTCCCTCACTGTACCATCTCCCTCCGCAGGAATGTGTTTGAACTCGCTGTCTGTTGTTGTATCTATAAATCTTGTAACTCAATTTTAACCCACTTCCAAATGTGGTATCGACTGCAAACTTGGTATCCTTATGTCATACTGAAGACAATACTATATTGTATCATAAAAAAAAATATTTATAAACATTCATTTTTACATGTTGTCTTTTACCTTCGGTCTAATTGTCCAACGCTCAACCCACGTTGGTTGTAAATCACCACGGGCCCCTTACGTTGTGGCAAGCTTCAGGGCCACTGCCTGGAGTCGTGGAGTTATTCCATTGCTGGTACGGTACATTTCAATAAGGCGTGTTTAAAAAAAAAAAAGTTTTTTAAAAAAAAAATATTACTTATTTATGATTTTGGTGACAGGAGCTGGACCGGGAGCTGAAGCTGAAGATGACTCAGACTGCGGGGCTCGTTGTGCAAATACTGCAAAGGCGATGCAGCGAGCAGGTAGCACACCCTCGCCTCGCCCCGCTGGGCACCGTTGTCTACGTGCGGTGCGAAAGAAGTTCAACATAAGTACACACTGACCCATAGACTCAACACTGCCCCATAGACTAACACTACTCATAGACTCAGCACTGCCCCATAGACTCACACTACTCATAGACTCAGCACTGCCCCATAGACTCAGCACTGCCCATAGACTCAACACTACTCATAGACTCAGCACTGCCCAATAGACTCAACACTGCCCATAGACTAACACTGCCCATAGACTAACACTGCCCATAGATTCAACACTGCCCATAGACTAACACTGCCAATAGACTAACACTACTCATAGACTCAACACTACTCATAGACTCAACACTGCCCATAGATTCAACACTGCCCATAGACTCAGCACTGCCCATGGACTCAACACTGCCCCATAGACTCAACACTGCCCCGTAGACCTAGCACGACCCATAGATTCAACACTGCCCATAGACTAACACTGCCCATAGACTAGCACTGCCCATAGACTAACACTACTCATAGACTCAGCACTGCCCATAGACTAACACTGCCTATAGACTCAACACTGCCTATAGACTCAACACTACCCATAGACTCAACACTACCCATAGACTCAACACTGCCCATAGACTAACACTGCCTATAGACTCAACACTGCCTATAGACTCAACACTACCCATAGACTAACACTACTCATAGACTCAGCACTGCCCATTGACTAACACTGCCTATAGACTCAGCACTGCACCATAGACTCAACACTGTCCATAGACTCAACACTGCCCAGAGACTCAACACTACCCATAGACTCAACACTGCCCATAGACTAACACTACTCATAGACTCAACACTGCCCATAGACTCAACACTGCCCATAGACTAACACTACTCATAGATTAAACACTGCCCATAGACTAACACTGCCTATAGACTCAGCACTGCCCATAGACTAACACTGCCTATAGACTCAGCACTGCCCATAGACTCAACACTGCCCATAGACTCAACACTGCCCATAGACTCAGCACTGCCCATGGACTCAACTCTGCTCATAGACTCAACACTGCCCCATAGACTCAGCACTGCCCCGTAGACCTAGCACGACCCATAGATTCAACACTGCCCATAGACTAACACTATTCATAGACTCAACACTGAGTGGGCAGATGAGTGAGTGGGTTGGTGGGTGGGTGAGTGGGAAGGTGAGTGAGTGGGTAGGTGAATGAGTGAGTGGGTAGGTGAGTGAGTGGATATGTGGGTGAGTGAGTGGGTGGGTAGGTGAGTGAGTGGGTAGGTGAACGAATGGTTAAGAACACTGCCTATAGACTCAGCACTGCCCATAGACTCAACACTGCCCATAGACTCAGCACTGCCCATAGAGTGAGTGGGTAGGTGAGCGAGTGGGTAGGTGAGTGAGTGGGTAGGTGAGTGGGTAGGTGAGTGAGTGGGTAGGTGTGTGAATGAGTAGGTAGGTAGGTGAGTGGGTAGGTAGGTGAGTGAGTGGGTAGGTGAGTGAGTGAGTAGGTGAGTGAGTGATTAGGTAGGTGAGTGAGTGAGTAGGTAGGTGAGTGAGTGGGTAGGTGATTGAGTGAGTGAGTAGGTGAGTGAGTGAGTGGGTAGGTGAGTGAGTAGGTGAGGTGAGTGGGTAGGTAGGTGAGTGAGTGGGTAGGTAGGTGAGTGAGTGAATAGGTGAGTAGGTAGGTGAGTGAGTGGGTGAGTGAGCGAGAGAGTGGGTGAGAGAGTGGGTGAGTGAGTGAGTGGGTAGGTGAGTGAGTGAGTAGGTAGGTGAGTGAGTGGGTAGTTGAGTGAGTGAGTAGGTGAGCGAGTGAGTGGGTGAGTGAGTGAGTGGGTGAGTGAGAAGGTGAGTGAGAAGGTGAGTGAGTGAGTAGGTAGTTGAGTGAGTGAGTAGTTGAGTGAGTAGGTAGTTGAGTGAGTGAGTAGGTGAGTGAGTAGGTAGTTGAGTGAGTGAGTGGGTAGTTGAGTGAGTAGTTGAGTGAGTTGCACCGCGCCGTGTCCCCCAGACGTCGTCCCTCCAGAGGAGGTCGTTTGGGAGCCTCGCCCTGAAGTGCCTCTACGACCACGGGCGACAGCTCCTCGTGGTGGAGGTGCTCAACGTGGCCCTTCCCGGCGGAGACGGTAGTCGTCCACTCACCCAGAGTCACTCACCCAGCGTCACTCACCCAGAGTCACTCACCCAGCGTCCACTCACCCAGCGTCACTCACCCCAGAGTCACTCACCCAGCGTCACTCACCCAGAGTCACTCACCCAGCGTCACTCACCCCGCGTCCACTCACCCAGAGTCACTCACCCAGGGTCACTCACCCAGCGTTACTCACCCAGAGTCACTCACCCAGAGTCACTCACCCAGAGTCACTCACCCAGCGTCACTTACCCAGTGTCACTCACCCAGAGTCACTCACCCAGAGTCACTCACCCAGAGTCACTCACCCAGAGTCACTCACCCAGAGTCACACACTCATAGTCACTCACCCAGAGCCACTCACCCAGAGTCACTCACCCAGAGTCACTCACCCAGAGTCACTCACCCAGCGTCACTCACCCAGCGTCACTCACCCAGCGTCCACTCACCCAGAGTCACTCACCCCGCGTCCACTCACCCAGAGTCACTCACCCAGAGTCACTCACCCAGAGTCACTCACCCAGAGCCACTCACCCGGAGTCACTCACCCAGAGTCACTCACCCAGCGCCACTCACCCAGAGTCACTCACCCAGAGTCGCTCACCCAGAGTCACTCACCCAGAGTCACTCACCCAGAGCCACTCACCCGGAGTCACTCACCCAGAGTCACTCACCCAGCGCCACTCACCCAGAGTCACTCACCCAGAGTCGCTCACCCAGCGTCACTCACCCAGCGTCACTCACCCAGAGTCACTCACCCCGCGTCCACTCACCCAGCGCCACTCACCCAGCGCCACTCACCCAGAGTCACTCACCCAGAGTCACTCAGTCAGCGTCACTCACCCAGAGTCACTCAGCCAGAGTCACTCACCCAGAGTCACTCACCCAGAGTCACTCACCCAGAGTCACTCACCCAGAGTCACTCACCCAGAGCCACTCACCCAGAGCCACTCACCCAGCGTCACTCACCCAGAGTCACTCACCCAGAGTCACTCACCCAGAGCCACTCACCCAGAGTCACTCACCCAGCGTCACTCACCCAGAGTCACTCACCCAGAGTCGCTCACCCAGAGTCGCTCACCCAGAGTCGCTCACCCAGCGTCACTCACCCAGAGTCACTCACCCAGAGTCACTCACCCAGCATCACTCACCCAGAGTCACTCACCCAGAGTCACTCAGTCAGAGTCACTCACCCAGAGTCACTCACCCAGAGTCACTCACCCAGCATCACTCACCCAGAGTCACTCACCCAGAGTCACTCACCCAGAGTCACTCACCCAGAGTCACTCACCCAGCATCACTCACCCAGAGTCACTCACCCAGAGTCACTCACCCAGAGCCACTCACCCAGCGTCACTCACCCAGCGTCACTCACCCAGAGTCACTCACACAGAGTCACTCACCCAGAGTCACTCACCCAGAGTCACTCACCCAGAGTCACTCACCCAGAGTCACTCACCCAGAGTCACTCACCCAGCGTCCACTCACCCAGAGTCACTCACCCAGAGCCACTCACCCAGAGCCACTCACCCAGCATCACTCACCCAGAGCCACTCACCCAGCGTCACTCACCCAGAGTCACTCACCCAGCGTCACTCACCCAGAGTCACTCACCCAGCGTCCACTCACCCAGAGTCATGAGGATTGTGGTGCTAAGGACACCCGGGGTCTTTGCTTTGCGCCGTTTGCCGTGCAGACAAGGGGCAGATCCGGCCGATCGTGAAGATTCGTCTCCTGCCACGCTCCACGTTCGGAGACGTCAAGGCCAGGAGCACGCGGGCCGGGGAGAGGGGAACGCACATCCTGGTGGACGAGACGCTCAGCTTGTGAGTCGCACAGAGAGACAGGACTACTCACAGGGACACACACAAAGACACGGACACACACACAGAGACACGGACACACACACACAGAGACACGGACACACTCACAGAGACACGGACACACACACAGAGACACGGACATACACACACAGAGACACAGACACACATGCACACAGAGACAGGCATACTCACAGAGACACGGATACACACAGAGACACGGACATACACACACAGAGACACGCACACACACAGAGACACGGACACACACACACACAGAGACATGGACACACACACACACTCACAGGGACAGGCATACTCACAGAGACACGGACACACACAGAGACACGGACACACACAGAGACACGGGCATACTCACAGAGACCCGGACACACACACAGAGAGACTGGCATACTTACAGAGACACGGACACTCACAGAGACACGGGCACACTCACAGAGACACGGACACACTCACAGAGACACGGACACACACACACAGAGACATGGACACACACACACACAGAGACACGGACACACACACAGAGACATGGACACACATACACAGAGACACGGACACACACACAGAGAGACTGGCATACTCACAGAGACACAGACACACACAGAGACACGGGCACACTCACAGAGACACGGACACACTCATAGAGACACGGACACACACACAGAGACATGGACACACACACACACAGAGACATGGACACACACACACACAGAGACATGGGCACACTCACAGAGACATGGACACACACACACACAGAGACACGGACACACACACACAGAGACATGGACACACACACACAGACACAGACACACACACACACACAGAGACAGGCATACTCACAGAGACACAGACACACACAGAGACACGGGCATACTCACAGAGACACAGACACACACAGAGAGACAGGCATACTCACAGAGACACAGACACACACACAGAGACACAGACACACTCACTCAGTCACTCACGTGCCCCTCTCTCTCCCTGTGTCTCTCTCTCTCTTTCTGTCTCTCTCTCCTCGTCCCTCTCCTGTCTCTCCGCTCTCACCCCCCCACCACCACCACCACACCCCCCCCACCCCCCCCCCACCACCCCCCCACCCCCCCCCCACACACCACCACGTGCCAGCAAGGTGAGCCGTGAGCAGTGTGCCTCTCCTGGCGCCTGTGCTCTGTGCACGGTGCGCAACCACGGGGGTCTGCGCGCGGCACTCGTAGGGGAGGCAGCCCTGGCGCTGTCCGGAGTCCCCGGGGTCCACGGGCCGCCCGCCCCCGACCCTCGCTCCGTGCCGCAGGTGGCGCTCGCGCTGCTGCACCCGCGGCCCAGCGACGCCGGTGAGGAGACGTCGCCAGTGCCACCGTCACCACCGGCACCATCAGCACCACCAGCACCAGCAGCACTACCATCACCACCGTCACCACCAGCATCGTCACCAGCAGCACCAACACCACCAGCGCCACCATCACCACCAGCACCGTCAGCAGCAGCACCACCAACACCACCAGCACTACCATCACCACCGTCACCACCAGCACCGTCAGCAGCACCAGCACCACCAACACCACCAGCACTACCATCACCACCGTCACCACCAGCATCGTCACCAGCAGCACCAGCATCACCACCAGCACCGTCAGCAGCACCAGCACCACCAGCACTACCATCACCACCATCACCACCAGCATCGTCACCAGCAGCACCAGCATCACCACCAGCATCGTCAGCAGCACCAGCACCACCAGCATCGTCAGCACCATCAGCACCACCAGCACTACCAGCACCAGCACCAGCAGCACTACCAGCACCAGCAGCACTACCATCACCACCAGCACCGTCAGCAGCACCAGCACCACCAACACCACCAGCACTACCATCACCACCGTCACCACCAGCATCGTCACCAGCAGCACCAGCATCACCACCAGCATCGTCAGCACCATCAGCACCACCAACACCACCAGCACTACCATCACCACCGTCACCACCAGCATCGTCACCAGCAGCACCAGCATCACCACCAGCATCGTCAGCAGCACCAGCACCACCAGCATCGTCAGCACCATCAGCAGCACCAGCACCACCAGCACCAGCAGCACTACCATCACCACCATCACCATCACCACCAGCATCACCAGCACTACCATCACTACCAGCACTACCATCACTACCAGCACCAGCACTACCAGCACCAGCACTACCAGCACCAGCAGCACTACCATCACCAGCACCACCATCACTACCAGCACCAGCACCACCAGCACTACCAGCACTACCAGCACCACCAGCACCACCATCACTACCAGCACAGCCAGCACCATCAGCACCACCAGCACTACCATCACTACCAGCACCAGCACTACCATCACTAGCAGCATCAGCACTACCATCACTACCAGCACCACCATCACCACCAGCACCACCATCACTACCAGCACCAGCACTACCATCACTACCAGCACCAGCACTACCATCACCACCAGCACCAGCACCACCAGCACTACCATCACTACCAGCACCACCATCACCACCAGCACCAGCACCACCAGCACTACCATCACTACCAGCACCACCAGCACTACCATCACTACCAGCACCACCATCACTACCATCACCACCAGCATCATCACCAGCATCATCACCAGCACCACCATCACTACCAGCACCAGCATCACCATCATCACCACCAGCATCGTCAGCACCACCAGCACTACCAGCACCACCAGCACTAACATCACTACCATCAGCACCAGCACCACCAGCACTACCATCACTACCATCACTACCAGCACCATCACTACCAGCACCAGCACTACCATCACTACCATCACTACCAGCACCATCACTACCATCACTACCAGCACCAGCACCACCAGCACTACCATCACTACCATCACTTCCAGCACCATCGCCACCATCACTACCAGCACCACCACCAGCACCACCATCACCAGCACCACCAGCACCATCACAACTCGCCCACCCACCAACCTACTCACCCACCCACTCACTCACCCATTCACCCACTGAGTCACTCACTCACCCACTCACTCATCCACTCACCCACTCACTCTCTCACTAACTCACCCACCAACCCACTCACCCACCCATCCACTCGCTCACGCACCCACTCACTCTTTTACCTGCTTGCCAATTCACCCACTCAACCACCCACTCACTTACCCACCCAGCCACCGACCTACTCACTCACCCACCCACTCACCCCCTCAGTCACTCACCCACCCACTCACCCACCCAGCCACCCACCCACTCACTCACTCACCCACCCACCCACTCACCCACCCAGCCACCCACTCACTCACCCACTCACTCACCCACTCACTCACTCACTCACCCACTCACCCACCCAGCCACCCACTCACTCACCCACTCACTCACCCACCCACCCACCCACTCACCCACCCACTCACCCACCCAGCCACCCACCCACTCACTCACCCACTCACCCACTCAGTCACCCACCCACTCACTCACCCACTCACTCATCCACCCACTCACTCACTCACCCACCCACCCACCCACTCACTCACCCACCCACCCACTCACTCACCCACCCACCCACTCACTCACTCACCCACCCAGCCACTCACTCACTCACCCACTCACCCACTCACCCACCCACTCACCCACTGACTCACCCACCCACTCACCCACTCACTCACCCACCCACCCACTCACCCAGCCACCCACTCACCCACCCACTCACCCACCCACTCACTCACCCACCCACTCACTCACCCACCCACCCACTCACCCACCCGTCGCCCCCACCCCCTTGCCCTTCTTTCACGACAGAGGCCGAGATCCTGGCCGTCCTGCTGGGCCGTGCCTCGGACAGCGAGGCACAGGAATTCGCAAAGGCCTACAGGGCGGCCGAATCCCAGTGCCTGCACCCGGCCACCTCCCCATGAGCGGTGCTGGGGTGGTGGCGGGGGGGAGGGAGAGATGGGGGGAGCAGGGAGAGAGTGGGCACAGAGGAGTGCAGGGAGAGAGATCGGGGGTGGTCATATTTGAGGGGGGGGGGTCTGCCTTTATGCGACGCCGTGTGACGATGGGGGGGGGGGGGGTCAAAAATCGTCCAAAATCGCGTGACGTCATTTATGGACGGCCCCTGAGGCCCACCGAGGTATCCTGTATGGTTATTTTTGTTCGAGAAGCGACCCTGTCCATCACAAATGACAGCTGATAACGAAGAGGGGGGAAAGACCGGCGGATCCCGGAGGAATGAAAATCCACGGGACCACGTGGAGAGAAACAAGCAAACTCCAAATATACAGCAGCAGGCGTCAGGGTCACGATCGAACCCACGACCTCCTGTACACCAGGCGAGATTATTAACATCTCCTAGCCACAGTGATGATGATGAGAGAGAGAGACACGCAAACTCCAAATATACAGCAGCAGGCGACAGGGTCGGGATCTAACCCACGACCTCCTGTATACCAGGCGAGGTAGTTAACATCTCCTAGCCACCGTGATGATGATGAGGGAGAGAGAGACACGCAAACTCCAAATATACAGCAGCAGCAGGTGACAGGGTCACGATCGAACCCACGACCTCCTGTACACCAGGCGAGGTAGTCAACATCTCCTAGCCACCGTGATGATGATGATGGAGAGAGACACACAAACTCCTTAGCTCGTCAAGGGCCGTGGTGCCGAGGGGTTTGAAGCCTCCCAAGGGACGTGGCTGGGTCCCCTCTCTCGGTGCCTCTGGCCACCACCGCATACGGCATCGTCCAAGCGAGTGACAGCGTTGAGTGTTGTCGTGTGGCACAGTATTAGGGGGAGATCTCCTCCCTCCGACCCCCCCCACTAGCATAGCTGCCTGACAAACAAGCAATGATGTATCTGTATTATTATTTAATTTATATATTTTATGGCGTTGAGTCGTGGATGGCAGCCGAAGTGGTCCCGGATCCTGAGAAGACTGCCGAGTGACGTTTTGTCGAATTTGTAGTTTGGAGGTGAGGGATGGGGGGGGGGGGTGGCACGTGCCCCCCCCCCCCCCCCAATGATCCGATAGAAATCCCTAATTTCGATCGGATCATTGGGGTTTATTAGTAATAAATCGGCATTTTGCGACCCCCACTGCCACTGTGTAGCATATTATTATTATTACGTGGCCAGGCACTCTACGAGATGATAGGACAATAGTCTGAGTCCATGATTGGCAATAAGTAACGGCAAAGCGGTTTATAAGCGACTCACAGAATTGCGCGCGGTCGCGTCTACAGAGTCCACGACTTCCCTGAAGGCATCGACACCTTCAGCGAGCGCGATGGCGATCACTAACAACGCGGTTCGCAATTGGACCCCTCGGTCGATGGACTGCCCCATCGCCACACACGCGTCGAATACAAATCAAGGGACACAAGTCCTCGCTTACTAACAACTCCTCTATCATTTTTTTATTGCTGGAGGGGGGTTGCCCCCCCCCCCATACCTACCTGAAAATCCTGGCTCCGTCATTGCGTGAGAGATGTGTGGGGGGGGGAGGGGGGTGAGAGACGTGGGGGCTTGAGATGTGGGGGGTGATGGACAAATGCACGTCCTCATTTACAACTTTCAAGCAGACGCAGTTGGCACAAGCCTACTGCTTCCAAGTCCCTGCGATTCACCAATAGCCAATCGCGTTTATAGGTGCACGCATGTTAACGCAATCGTGATACGCGATATATATATTTTATATACGTGTAGATACATATATCCACGCACGTCAAGACGCTATCGGGATACTAGAGTTGGTGTTGGGTTAGATCGTGTGAATGCGTCGTTAAAACCCGCCACCACCCGACACGGCTAAACTAGTAAAACCAAACTCGTGAAGGGAGTTTCGATTTAAAGCTTTCGTGAATGCAGGGATTCACCTTCTTGGTTTCTTTCGGTAAAGTCACCACGTAGAAGGGAAATAATTAAAATAATAAAACATAAAATAAAATTCTCACGACGTTTCCGCCACAACACAAGTAGCCTTCCTCAGGTGAAGAAACAGAACTGTCGGGACGACGGCGCTCCAATGTGGCACTGCTAACATCATGCTAATCTCCCAGTTGCATGCTAATTTCTGACTTGCTAATCTATCACATTAACAAAGCTACTTCAATCTGCTGATATGTAAACTCCTTTGTCAAGGCGCTCTGCTCCTCCCACCCAGCTTAAAATACGCTGCCAAGCTTAGCAGTGTTCATTGGAGCACCGTTGTCCCGACAGTTCTGTCTCTTCACCTGAGGAAGGCTACTTGGTGCTGTGGCCGAAACGTCGTGAGAATTTTATCGTTTTATATTTTTACTGTTTTATTATTTCGCTTCTCCGCGACTTTACCGAAAGAACCAAGAAGATTTTAATTTTGATGTGAAGCTTTCGTGACTGCAGTGATTCATATTCTTAGCTCTTTCGGTAAAGTCACGTTGAAGGGAAACAATAAAATAATATACTATATAATATTGAAGGGCGGTTCAAACTCGGAACCTCTTTTGACGGGACTCTAACCCTTTTCGCTCTCACACTTTTCACATTGGAAAGGCGTCGCGAAGACCCTGGCAAACATTTATTGTAATTTTTTTTAAAGATCCGAGCGTTCCAAACGCATTTCACGCGGTGGCGATGCCGGCGATGGCCACGTACTTTGCCTCTAGGTGCGTGACGTCCATGAATGACGTCACGCACCTAAAGGGGGGGGGGGGGGGTCAGACATTTGTGAAGATTTGTGACGTGGGGGGCAGTTGAGAAATGTGACGTCACGTAAAAAATGAGCAACTTTAAATAAATAGACAACACGTTCTACTTAATTAAAGACTTTTTAATGTTTTATCCTACATCATCAGAGTGCAGCGCCACGTTAAATACGCACTACAATGACAATAGTTTAAAGCGATTTGAAGCATGTCTTATTTTTAAAATGGAAATGTTTTTTTTTTGGGGGGGGGGCAGAGCTTTGTGAAGTCATATTTGAGGAGAGGGGGGGGGTCTGACTTTGTGTGATGTCGTGACGAAGGGGGAGAGGAGGGGCGGGTCAAAAAATCGTCCAAAATCGCGTGATGTCATTTATGGACGGGGCCCCTAAGACAGCAGGCTAGCGAGATGGGTGGCCGGGGGTTGGAAAATCACCGCCACACACTCAAGACGTCGTTTGCGAAGCTCCCTTTTCCTCAACCACGTGGGTGTCGGACAAGGTTCACGAAATCTCACCGCGGTGTGCCGATTAACCGGTGGGCCAGATCTGTGTGGGTTGTTGCGTGTACAACACTTATCAGAGGACATTTTTTACCAAGCAACGTTTTTATACGCCCCGCTGCCCTATTGCAACAAAAAAAAGAGCCTCGCCTATTTTTAATTGTTGTATTCCGCGCGCGCGCGTACACGCGGTCTTGTACCACGTTTTGCTACGTTTATTGTTTTTTTTAAATAAATAAAAAGCCCCCTCCGCCGAAGGCGCTTGAAAAGTTGGGAAGATCTCGGCGTCATCTTTGAGAAAGGCGCGTTGGGAGCGTTCAAGCATCTCGAAGTTGAGTCTCACGACTCAACGTTCCAACAGTAAAAGCAGGGGGAAGAGTCGCTTTGTAACCACGTGCTCATCACAACCCCCCCTCCCCCCATGGATTTGATTTGCAGCACACATTATTTTCACAATTTAGTTCACAGACCCCGGGCAAAACGTTGGCAACCCACCGAGAGTTAAATTTCGATTTAAAGCTTTCGTGACTGCAATGATTCATCTTCTTTGGTTCTTTTGGTAAAGTCACGTAGAATGAGAATAAAATAATAAATTGATAAAATAAAATAACACAATATTCTCACGACGTTTCGGCCACAACACAAGCGGCCTTCATCTTTGAGAAACGCGCGTCTCGTCCCTTCACCTGATGAAGGCCGCTTGTGTTGTGGCCAAAACGTCGTGAGAATATTATTGTTATTTTATCAATTTATTATTTTATTCTCATTCTACGTGACTTTACCTAAAGAACCACCGAGAGTTGATAAAAAAATAAATCTATTAAGTGATACCAGTTTTATTCAGTGGTCAATAAAGGAAAAAAAATCGGTTTTACCCTTGCCGACATTTAAAACAGGTGAGAATGTGTCCAAACACCAGATAGAAATTTTTTTGCAAGGAATCACGTCTGCATTTAACCACACGTACTTCAATCATGCACTAATATATTAGCGGTCTTTGAAATTAATTGGCCCTTAGGGCCTAGTCTCACCATTGCGATTTCGTTCACATCACTCAGGGTTATTGCACGATTCGCTCTTGTTGGCGATTCAAATATCTCCGGTGGTAGACATTAGAACCTCGCACTTGCTAGCACTTCCAACATCCACTTGGCAGTAGATGGCTTCAATCTCTGATTTGAAGCTTTCGTGACCGCAGGAATCTTTCGGTAAAGTCATCACGTGGGTAGAAATAAAATAACAAAAAAAAATCACGTTTCGATTGCGACACAAGCAATCATCATCAGGTGGGAAAACCACAGCAATAATTGGTTTGCTTAAGTGGGAGGGAGATTTGCTTTGATAGGTTTAGGTGAGAGAAGGGAGGGGGGTGCATTGTGTGGACGCTAGCAACATTTCCTTGCTGTGGTTTTCCACACCTGATGGTGATTGCTCGTGTTGCAAATCGAAACGTCGTGATTGATTTTATTTCCACCTACGTGACTTTACCGAAAGAACCAGCCCAGAGTAGATGGCTTGTTTTGGATTTTTGCTTAGTCAGTCACAGCCACAACAACGCGAGCAAAACTCATCAAAGTTGTAACACGTTTATTGAAGGAAGCAAGGGTAACGCAAGAGCTTGGAAAGAAGAGACGATTTGGAGGGAATCCCAAATTGGGAACGGTCAAAGGCATGAAACAAAGTTAACCATCTCGCCCGGTATACAGGTCGTGGGTTCGATTCCGACCCAGGCGTCTGCTGTACATTTGGAGTTTGCTGTGCGTCTCTAGCCGTCTCCCCCGTGGTCTTGTGGATCTTTCTCCGGTTTCTCCCTCCACCTTCAATAATCAACATCACGCGTCTTGAAGAGTATTTTGGCCGCCATACATTTCCACGTCGGAGTCCGCTCCGTTGAGCTATCACTCCCGATGGTCGGGTCCCTGCTGAGAAAGAGCGACAAGCTCAGCGGGGCCTTACCTGGTAAACTAAAACGTACAGTGGAGTGTGTGGGCTGCAGGGAATTTAATATTTCACTTAAGATCGAGCTTTCACCTCCACTTGCAAAAAAACATTTCCGTGACAATTCTTATCTTTGCTCTCACTTTCATTTGCTTGAATTTCTGCACTGCCATCTCCCCGGGCGTGGAAGTTGAAACAATGGGAGCGTGGGGTGGGGGGTGGGGGGTGGGCAGGTTTATTAACCCCCCCCGCCTCCACCAGTGCCTATTGAACTGTCGACCTCCGGATTCAGACGCCGATCGACGGGGTCAGTGTATCCAGTGCCGAGCCCCCACCACCACCGCCGCCTGTAACACAACGAGAGAGCGGGTGACGCGTGGCACAATCGCTGACCTCCGATAACCTCCTTAACCCCCCCCCCCCCCCCCCCCCAATGTCATCCAGTGGCATGGATCAGAGCGTTTACTTTAAGAGACCCTCACAGAGACTCGGGGCTCAGAGACGTCATCACTTCCGGCCGGGGGGAGACACAGGCACACAACGTTCTTGGAATTACCAACAGATTTTGTTTGCATCTTCAACGGGCATCGAACCTGGTTATAAAATTCGCGCGGCGGAACGGTGGTTGGTGCACCGCGCTACGAACCCAGCGAACCGAGTTAAGATTCCCACTCGCGGCCAACACCAGCGACGATTATCCGAACCGGTCCTGGGAACTCCCCAAGGTCGGCCGAGCCTCGAACAAGTATCAGGCGAGACGTGTAAACATCGCCTCGCCGCTGGAGAGACAAAGGCGGTCGGGCGTGGTGTTGATCACCCGCCCCCTCGTGTGCCGTGTCAGCCTTCATAGGTGCTCGCTCACGGCACTTGCCCCAACAGTCTGTTACATGCTATATGTTTGTAGGTGGTTGGCTTAGGACCGCTACTGGGGAGTTGGGAGGCAGTCACGCCTCCAGCAACAACGAAGGGCGGATAGAGCGCCGCTCAAAGTAACGAGCAAGAGTGCCGGGCGGCTAAAATGGAAATTGCCACAGCGGGCAGCATAGGTGGTGCAATCTGCCAGTCATCTCGGTCAGTCAAACCAATGGCACCTGGGTGTGTTCCGTGACCTCCTGCCAGCAGGCCTTCGACACTTGACGTGGCCTCAAAGTGCACCTGGCCTGGCACAAGCGCTGCAAGTGTCACGTCACCGACGATTAGTTGGTGACGGGCGGTTGATGCTGCTGTTTAATTTTCATGCACAGACCACAGGCACAGATGTTCACCGTCTCCAAGACGAGACGATCTTACAGGTGGCACCCGTTCCAACAGTTCCCTCCATGCCAGCCTTCAGTCTGAGAATAAAAAAAAAATATTAAAGAAAATTTCAATCAGACATCCTGTACCCAATTACAGCAACACCCCAGTTTACGTGGAGGGGGGGGAGGGGGTGTGTGTGGGAATGCGTTCCTCCAAAGTACAACGACAATCACCGGACATGCATCTACAGCGAGCTGCACATCATCCATAACGACAGGTGTTTTTTTTGGGTTAGATCACGTAAAATGTACGTGTCGTTAAAATCCGCCACCACCCCACACAGCCAATTAGTAAGGCTTTGAGTAAATTTGTAAGATTTCTACACAAATCTAGCTAGCGCGTGATGATGCCGGTTGTAATTACTGGCAAAACGTCGTACTCAAGATTGTAAATGTTCTGGATTTGCTCTCCAACACACCGGTGTGCTGTACTCGTGACGAATTGGCCACGTTCTGTTTATGTGAAAGACTTAACCAATTGGTTGTCGGGTGGTGGCGGGTTTAACGACACATTTATATTTACACTATCTAACCCACAACAACCACCGGTTTTATGAACACAACAACCGGTTAAGCGCTTAACCAAGTAAACTAATGACGAATTTTCAACGTTTCGTTTTTACGTGGCAAACCTTACTCATTGGCCGTGTCGGATGGTGGCGGGGTTTAACAACACCCTTACATTCACGCCAACCCAAAAAAAAGAACCCGCATTAACCGAGCTGCACAAATTCACGATTTCCGCGACGGCCAAGATCGTCGCCTTTCGTCTGCAAGGGACGGCGGCGCATTTGCTCCCTTAAAACAGCGGAGTGGCAGCGATGCCGACGAGAGGACGGAGCTGACATCAGCTGCCCCTACAACGTCCTACACGCCCCCCCCACCCCAATGGCACGGATCAGAGCGTTTACTTTGTTAGAGACCCTCACGGAGACTCGGGGGCTCAGAGATGTCATCACATACGGCAGGGAGGGGGGTGGGGGTGGGATGGGGAGTGCCCAGCAACAGGAGCTCGCCGATTCAGAATCTTGATTTATACTGGAGGAATATCGACGAGCTGTGGAGGCTCATTTTCACAGATGTTCAATAGCGGCGGGTCCAAAAGTTACAATAACAATGCAAAAGCACGAGAGGACTTGTCCACGTTCCACAGCAGCACTGCTCAACTTTAACCTATTAAGGCTTGTAGATTACTCCACGGGACGCGGATATCCAATGCACAGGCTGCTAATCCAGCGCATTAAGGGGGGCCTCAAAAGGGGTTTCAGCGCGTACGTATGCGCAAGTGTGGTGACTCGCAGTACAGACCCTCCAGCAGGAGACTCTTCTGTCTTCTCAAACGGACGGATGGACGCGACAGCCGGCACTTCCAGCGGACGTCTCCATCGCAGGCAGCCCACACATTCTGAGAAAATAAAATAAACCCGCCGCGGTTCATTGTTTTTGAAACAAGTGATGAACGCACAATTGTTTACAACCGGTAAAAGTGTCAAGGCCCGTGCTAAAAGGAGCGGGTGGAGGGGGGGTCCCTTGGTTCCGTTGGTCCAGGTCGACAGACTCCGCCGTGAGTGAGGAGGGGAGACGGCAGCCTACGCCCGGCAGCGTTAACCAGGGCGGCCGCCGGGCTGTTAACGACCCGAGGGAGGGGTGGAAGGGTCCCACCTCCGAGGCCGTCAGAAAGCGTTTACTTTTTTGAGGCCGTCAGGATTCAGGACTCGAGAGTATTCATCATCACTCCAGCCTGGAGGTGCCCGATAAAACACCCACCCCCCCCCACCTCCTCACACCCCAACACTGTTCGTGAATCAACACACCGTTGCACGCATCGTTCACTGTAAACAGATATTTGTTTTCCATCGCTCAAGCGGAACGCCGTGGTATACGAGATGTGCGCCCTCTTGCCAACAACATCTGGTAATATATTTTGTTTTTATATGTACAGGGACTCCTCTACTTACGAACGAGTTTCAGAGGTCTGTTCGCAAGTCGATTCCAAACGTGTCGTAAGGCGTGTTCGCTAAACATGGGGAATGGCTTTAAAAGTTGTATAATCTCCTGTGGATGCCACCGGTTCATCACGTTCTGCAGATGTAGATGCCACTGGTTCTTCACGTTCTGCAGATGTAGATGCCACTGGCTCATCACGTTCTGCAGATGTAGATGCCACTGGTTCTTCACGTTCTGCAGATGTAGATGCCACTGGTTCGCTACATTCTGCAGATGCCACTGGTTCATCACGTTCTGCAGATGTAGATGCCACTGGTTCTTCACGTTCTGTAGATGTAGATGCCACTGGTTCATCACGTTCTGTAGATGTAGATGCCACTGGTTCTTCACGTTCTGCAGATGTAGATGCCACCACCGCCATCTACTGGGAGGCGGTTGAACTTACGACTTCTCGGTCCCAACAGGCAACTGGACATACGGACCCAGGTTTGTTCATATCTCTGAAAGTTATCAAGTCGAATGTTCGTAAGTACAGGAGCCCATGTATACCGAACTTCTTTCGCACCATACGTGATAGCACACACGCCCAATAATGCAAAGCAGCCAGAAACAAAAACAGCACGCTTAAACGGAAAGCTTGTTTTTTGTTTAACCAAGTGAGAACACAGAGCGGGGAAAGAGTGAGTAATTTTTTTTTCCCACGAGTTACCTGGGGCATTAGTTTGCCAGTAGTGGGGGGCGGCGGGGGCTGGCACTTACTGCCGCGCGTAATGCCGATTTGAGTAACTTTGCGGCGTACATTTCACATTTTTGGCGACGTGGGACCCCGGGACGCCAGCTCTCACGATGGCCGACTGCTCGCCAATGACGTCAGGGGATGTTTAACGTCCACGGCAGATTGCACGGAATGTTATCACGGTCAACGGGGAGTTGGAACAGATGGGAGATTAGTCCGCACTTTGCCGTTACCGCTTTCTGGTGACGAGCCACGGCAAGGCTCCTTCTGGATGCCCAAGGGTAAGTTGGAACAGATGGAGATTAGTCCACACTTTGCCGTTACCGCTTTCTGGTGACGAGCCACGGCAAGGCTCCTTCTGGATGCCCAAGGGTAAGAGAGTTGGAACAGATGGGAGATTAGTCCGCACTTTGCCGTTACCGCTTTCTGGTGACGAGCCACGGTAAGGCTCCTGCTAGATGCCCAAAGGTAAGTTGGAACAGATGGAGATTAGTCCACACTTTGCGTTACCGCCTTGTCCTGGGCAAACCAGGGTATATGGCTCCTCCTTTGATACCAATGCCAAGGGATTTTCCTACCATGTGACCCTAGCTGCCCCCAGTGCTGGATTGGAGGCCACGTGCGTTGCGTGGCCTCCACAATCTGCCCGTGTATCTTGTGACTTATAAACCTCCACGAACGAGAATTTTTTTTTTTAGCGGCACGAAGTTCACTTGCGATGTGATGTCGAGACCTCTGGTGGGGAGAAGAACTTCCATCTTCTCGGCGATCAGGAGGATGCTTCCCAAGCGACGATTCAACCAATCTCTCCGTTTCCAGCAGCCTCTGTTATTGAGAAAAATATGAATTCAAACATTAGCATTCTTTGGGTCTTTCCGCAAAGTCACGTAAATAGGTTCAAAGTTATAAAAAAATAAAATAAAACCAAACTACTGCGTTTAAATCTCAACACACAAGCGATCGTCATGAGGAAAACAGAGGGGGAAAGCTTTCTCTATTTAAGAGACTTTACCGAAAGACCCAAAGAATATGAATTCCTGCAGTCACGAAAGCTTTACGTCAAGAATTAAAACGTCAGCGTTATTGTTTACGGCATTAATGACGCTCACAACTTGCCCGGAGAAAAGAAATCTATTACTGATACAAAGACTAATTTTCAGGAGGGTCCTGCCTGCCATGGTGGCGATTATGTTAACTACCTCGCCTGCTATACAGAAGTTCGTGGGTTCGATCCCAACCCTAGAGATGCTTATATATTTTGAGTTTGTGTGCCTCTCTCTCCCCGTGATTTTTCTCTGGGTCCTCCGGTTTTTCCCTCCACATTTAGAATAAACGTATGTCGAGTATTTAAGCCACTTTGTTGAGCTGTCGTTTGTGGCCAGGTCGCTTCTGAAAATAAGTTAATACCTCAGTGCGCTTTGCCTGGTCGGATAGGTATGGTTTAGTTGTATTTTTATGTGTTTGGGTGATCGTGTATTTTTTGTACGGTTTGTTACATTCTTACCCGCCCCTACTGGACATCTGTGAAAAAGAGCTTTATAGCTCATCGCATTCCTCCTGCAGTGTAAATACAGATTCTGACATCTACTTCACTTCAACTGTGAAGGAACGGCAGTTAACACGCCCAGCAACGTTTACCAGGGCGGCCGCTGCATTCCAAGCCGCCAGCAAACGGCAATAACCCACGGGGTGGGGAATCAACCTCCAGGCGGTCAGAAAGCGTTTACTTTATATCTGAGACCGTCAGGATTCAGGACTCGAGAGAATTGTTCATCATCATTCCGGCCTGGAGGGTTCCCACCGAATTCTGCCCTCCCCCAAAGTTGCTTCGTTTTTACTCACCGGCGCTTCTCAATCTTGTGTTTGGCAACTCACACAACCCCGTACAACACCGTGTCAAGCCATACGGTTTACCCCGTATTCTTGTACAGGGAAACTTTAGTTTTCTGGTCAATACAGGCGAACACAAAGTTGTCTCGTTTGCGTTCCTCTCTTGTGATGAGACTTTGTAGGATGAACGTTGAGATTTATAAGGGTATGTGGTGACCAATAATGTCGCAATTGGTCTGTAATAAGGTAGGGCACTGATAACCGGTTGACAGGTATGGTAGTGTAGTGGTGTAGTTGTGTAGTGGTGTAGTAGTGTAGTGGTATAGTAGTGTAGTGGTGTAGTAGTGTAGTGGTATAGTAGTGTAGTGGTATAGTAGTGGTATAGTAGTGTAGTGGTGTTGTAGTGTAGTGGTGTTGTAGTGTAGTGGCGTAGTAGTGGAGTAGTAGCGCAGTGGTATAGTAGTGTAGTAGTGTAGTGGTATAGTAGTGTAGTGGTGTAGTAGTGTAGTGGTATAGTAGTGTAGTGGTGTAGTTGTCTAGTGGTGTTGTAGTGTAGTGGTATAGTAGTGTAGTGGTATAGTAGTGTAGTGGTGTAGTAGTGTAGTGGTGTTGTAGTGTAGTGGCGTAGTAGTGGAGTAGTAGCGCAGTGGTATAGTAGTGTAGTGGTATAGTAGTGTAGTGGTATAGTAGTGTAGTGGTGTAGTAGTGTAGTGGTGCAGTAGTGCAGTGGTGTAGTGTAGTAGTGTAATGGTGTAGTAGTGTAATGGTGTAGTAGTGTAGTGGTGTAGTAGTGTAGTGGTGTAGTAGTGTAGTGGTGTAGTAGTGTAGTAGTATAGTAGTGTAGTGGTGCAGTAGTGTAGTGGTGCAGTAGTGTAGTGGTGTAGTAGTGTAGTGGTGGTGTAGTGTAGTGGTGGTGTAGTACTATAATAGGTTATGTAAACCCCCCTAGGCCTGACCACGTGGTTCCGAGAAACAAAAAGTACGACTAAATGAACGTCAATATTTTAAATTGTCCATTTCGTGAACTTTGCAAGCGAACAAAAACAGTCACAACTACTCTAAACACACGACGTACTAATATTAACTACATCATGAGGCCTCCTTTGCCAGTAGCAAAATATAATAGGTTTTTTTTATACCCTTTTGTACTGGCAACTAAACTGAAACCTTTTTTACAATGAACCATGTTTACATTGACCACAATACCTGCGGTCAGACGCCTTTTGGCGTCATCTGGTCTAACACCAAATGAGACTCGGCTCTAAGGAAAGCTGTCCCTAATGTGGACCAATCAATTTCAAGGACAATGCATAACATTATCAGTGTTTTTTTGTTTGAATTGTGACCGCAGGTATTGTGGTTAATGTAAAGATTGTCAGAAAAAAGGGGATTAAAAAACTATTAATGTTAACTACCTCCGCCTGGATTTTTAAATTCTGATTTAAAGCTTTCGTGACTGCAGGGATTCATATTCTTGGTTTATTCGGTAAAGTCACGTAGAAGGGAAACAATAAAATAATACAAATATAAAACAATACAATTCTCACGACGTTTCGACTGCAACACAAGCAATCATCGTCAGGTGTGAAAACCACAGCAAGAAAATTCTTATTCTTGCTGAGGTTTTCATCGTTCGTGCTGCGGTTTTCACACCTGATGATGATTGCTTGCGTTGCAGTCGAAACGTCGTGAGAATTTTGTTTTATATTTTTATTATTTTATTGTTTCCCTTCTACGTGACTTTACCGAAAGAACCAAGAATATATAACAGTGGTGTAAAGTCACATAGAAGGGAAATTGTTTTATATTTTTATTATTTTATTGTTTCCCTTCTACGTGGCGACTTTACCGAAAGAACCAAGAATATAACAGTGGTGTAAAGTCACGTAGAAGGGAAATTGTTTTATATTTTTATTATTTTATTGTTTCCCTTCTACGTGACTTTACCGAAAGAACCAAGACTATACCTCGCCAGGTATACGGGAGGATTCGTGGGTTCGATCCCGACCCCTGGGTATTTGGAGTGTGCGCGTCTCTCTCGCCACCACCACGTGGATACTCGTTGGTTCTATTCGGTAAAGTCACGTAGGTAAAAAATAAAACAAAAATCACGACGTTTCGGCTACAACACAGGCGGCCTTCATCAGGTGAAGGGACCGCCTTTTTTTTCAACTCCAGCGCAGTCTTCGAGACAGTCTGGTCCCTTCACCTGATGAAGGCCGCTTGTGTTGTGGCCGAAACGTCGCGATTTTTGTTGTTTTATATTTTTTTACCTACGTGACTTTACCGAATAGAACCAAAGAGTATGGATCCTTGCAGTCACGAAAGCTTCCAAGTCTAGAATTGATCACCACGTGGAATGTTTCCCCCTCTACATTTAGAACCACGCTGTTAAGATAATTTGATAGCTACACAACTCGACACATGAGCCACTACTGCCAGCTTATTATTTGTGATCGACATGTCGCTTTTGGAAGGAAGCAAAAATCCGTACGGCTCAGCGGAGAAAACTTGAAAGTGGTAAAATAAAAGTTTCCGTATTCTTGGTTTACCATCGCTTACGATCAATGGGAGTTTTAAAAAAAAGGTATTTTAAATCTTCTAGGTTGCAAACGTGGATTTGAAATGTTACCCCCGTTATTTTATATGTGCAGATTCACCCAAACAAGATTATACGCCAATTGTTTTCATCACGTACGATACAATTTCGCGCATTCACCAGTGCACGCACAACCTTATTACAGACCAATTCAGACCTCATTGGTCACCCCCAGTGCCCCTAACAAATCTCAAAGTTAATCCAAGTGTATAGTGTAGTGTAAAAGTAGGTTAGTGATTAGTAGTGGTCACTCCCAGTGCCCCTCATACATCTCAAAGTTAATCCAAGTGTATAGTGTAGTGTACAGTAGGTTAGTGTTTAGTAGCGGTCACCCCCAGTGCCCCTCACAAATTTCAAAGTTAATCCAAGTGTATAGTGTAGTGTACAGTAGGTTAGTGTTTAGTAGTGTAGTAGTTTAGTAGTGTAATGTTTAGTAGTGTAGTAGTTTACAATGCGGTAGGGCATTTATTAAATCACCTCACATATTGCCCCCGCATGGCCCTTACAACAATTTCCCGCCTTTGCGACTACTCACGCGGGGTGGAGGTCCGCCAGCGAGGCCGAAACGAATCCGCAAACATCGGGCTCGGCTCGTCGCCTCGAGCCGCCAAACTGGACAACATCTGGCGCTGAAGTGTTTAAGAGTTCGATCGTCGATATCCGCGCGATAAACGTCGCCTGAAGTTTAGTTTTTTTAAACAGACGAGAAGGTTCGATGGATGAAGCCCACCATCGTTTAGCAGCCTAATGGCGACTAGAGGATCGATCCGGATAAGTCATTCCGCGCGCTCGATCCGAACGCGTTAAGAGAGTGCGATGTGGAATCGAGCTACGGGATCGATTCCTTTGCGTCGCCGGACAGGTGACGAGCGGTGAGAAAATCGCGTGCAGTTACAAACGCAAATCGATTCCACGTTTGAGGGTCACAGCATACCAATCGATTTGATAATTTGTGATTAGGCCAGAATTGAATGTGCGTTGAGTAGGGCGGCTAATAAGGAGGCAAGTCGATTCATTCATAAATCGGAATCGAATTCAATCAAACTCGCACTAAAAATCAAACATTAATTTAACTGACAAAAAAATCTCACCACGTGGATTCACGCCCCCTTTGTTGACCGGGTAAAGTCGATTCTCAATGCAATTTAACCACAATAAACAAATATGCGTTGCATATTTTTTTTATAAATAAATAATCGAATACCGAACCAAGTTATGCACGTTAATCGATTCCAACGTCAGGACTACGGTGGCCCGAAGGCGGTCGCGAAGCGAGCGAAACGCGCACGCGTAACTCGGGGCGCGCCTAGAGCCCGTGATTTATAAGTTAGATCTAAGCAAATTATAATCTTTACTTAACTAATTCCTACCCTTCCCCCCCCACGCCCCTCTGAGGAAAGCCATGATAGGCGGTAGCCCGTGTCGCCTTTGTAAATGCAAACAAAATTAAAACTCGAATCAATGGTCATCAGCCGTGGGTCAATCTACTCCTGGATGACGGCCGCGGATTGCCAACAACATTAACTTGAAGGTTACATTAATGAACATTTCATTTCGTCTGAGCATCGTAAAGGCCCCGCTTAGCTGCTGCGCGTGGGTTTATATATATATTTTTTAAAAAAATTAATATATTTTTTCCCCTCAGACATCGCGAAGTGACAATTCAACGAAGTCGGCGACTCATCACCATTATTATTATTTATAACAGCTGCCAAATAAGCTATTAAATTAAACGCGTGGCGATGTCGTTTATAAATGCAGGAGGAGTGTGAGGTGAAGAATAAAAACAGGCAAAACTTGAGGAACTCCCCCCCCCTCCTCCTCCGGAGAGAGACGCACGAGACAACCCACGACAACCAACCACGTCGCTGAGGGCGATAAAGCGAGAACTCTCAACACGCGGCAAGCCCCCAAGGCGCCCTTCAAAGGGGTCCGGGCTCGAACCAACGCGGGTCACCTCCGAGGTAAGAGTTCAAGTCCACGCCAGTGTACCCACGGGCAGCCTCCAGTCGCGTTATAACAACGGCCGCGGTATTCTTTGGGTGGTTATTTCGGTAAAGTCACCACCACGTAGAATGATAATAAAATAATAAAATAAAACGATAAAATTCTCACGACGTTTCGGCCACAACACAAGTGGCCTTCTTCAGGTGAAAGGAACAAACCTTTCGTCGTCCCGACAGAGCGCTGTCGTCCCGACAGGTTTGTTCCTTTCACCTGAAGAAGGCCACTTGTGTTGTGGCCGAAACGTCGTGAGAATTTTATTGTTTTGTTTTATTATTTTATTCTCATTCTACGTGGTGGTGACTTTACCGAAAGAACCAAAGAAGATGAATCCTTGCAGTCGCGAAAGCTTTAAATCGAAATTTAACGGCCACGATATTCTTGGTTGGTTCTTTCGGTAAAGTCGTCACCACGTAGAAGGGAAACAAAATAATAAAAATAATAAAACAATAAAATTCTCGCGGCGTTTCGACTGCAACACAAGCAGCAATCGTCATCAGGTGTGAAAACCACAGCAAGAAAAAAAATTTCAGTGAAAACCACAGCAACAATTTTTTTTTCAAATGTTCTTGCTGTGGTTTTCACACCTGATGATGATTGCTGCTTGTGTTGCAGTCGAAACGCCGCGAGAATTTTATTGTTTTATTATTTTAATTATTTTATTGTTTCCCTTCTACGTGGTGA